TGCTCGAGATAGGCTTCAAGCAGATGCCTCATGACCCTGGAATGTACCGCAGCAATTTTCGCGGAGATTACATTCTGCTCATCGTCTATGTCGACGACTTGCTTTACATAGGGTCGGGCAACAAACTGCTGGAACAATTCGAGAGTAATCTGGCGGGGCGCATTGACATTACCTGCAACTACGAAATGAAGCAGTTCTTAGGACTCAACATCTCCTATGCACCAGAGGCCATTCATCTCTCAGCGGCTAAGTACAAAGAGGGGCTTGGCAAACGCTTCGAAATTGCGCCCGCGCCACTCTCCACTCCTTACCGCACCCCCGGACCGAACCACAAACCCGACAACAAAGCCCTATCCCCTGCTGGAATTCAGACTTACCAGCAGCAGCTAGGATGCCTGCCCTTCGCCTCTAATACCTGCAAGCCCGACCTTTCCTACATCGCGAGCCAACTGGCTCAGTACTGTCGCAAACCAATGGCTGAGAAACTTATGGATCTGCAGCGCGCTCTACAATTCTTCGTCTCGACGCCCACGATTAGGCTCTGCTACTCAACAGTGCCTCATCGGCTACGTGGACGCTGATCACGCAGCAGACCCCGATAATCGACGGTCCAGGACAGGCTTCCTATTTCGCCTCGAGCCAACAGGACCAATTTCGTGGAACTTGCGGAAACAGGAGTTGGTTGCCCTGCCATCGGCCGAGGCCGAATTCATCACCGCAACAGCAGCAGTTCGCGAAGGCCACTATTTGCAGGAACTCCTGCAAGAGGCAAAAATCCCAAATTCGCCAACCTTCCGCCTGCACTGCAACAACCAGAGCGCAATCCGCATCGCGAACAAGCCCGGATTCGTCAACCGCACCTAGCACATTGCGCTGCGGTATTTCTTCAAGGATGAAGTAGACAATGGTTAGGTGGACCTGACCTACTGCCCGACCGGTGACATGGCAGCCGACTTCCTGACGAAGCGACTGCCACGCCAGCAGTACCAGTACAGCTCCGAACTCAGCGGAGTAGCTAAGTAGGTCAAGTTGTGCACTCCTGACCGCATCTAGCGAATCACAGAGTTTCGAGGCTGAACACAAAGAGTTAGAGTTGACTCGAAGCAACCAGACAGTTGAAGTGAATCTGGACCGTCGGAGTAGAGGGCATCGGGCAGCTGCAGAACCGAGCGAATTGGCGGGAAGAGTTTCGCAACTGTTCGAGCCGCACAGTTGGGTTGTACCCCTTAGAGTGCATGGCTAGCAAGGCCGTTCGTATTCCCCTGTACTACTACTTATATGGGAGAGAGAGAAAGAGAGAGAGATAGAGGGAGAGAGAGAGAGGGAGAGAGAGAGAGAGAGAGAGAGAGAGAGAGAGAGAGAGAGAGAGAGAGAGAGAGAGAGAGAGAGAGAGAGGCCCTCGGAGCTAGTCCTTAGCCTCTCCAGCACTCTCCAGCCTAGTATATAGTGCTCCTCTGCAGCTAGCTCTCCTCATTGTTCTTTTTTTCTCCTCATTTGTTTCTCCTAACCGAGCGGGAGAGAGAGGAGAGAGAGAGAGAGGCCCTCGGAGCTAGTCCTTAGCCTCTCCAGCACTCTCCAGCCTAGTATATAGTGCTCCTCTGCAGCTAGCTCTCCTCATTGTTCGGTTTTTCTCCTCATTTGTTTCTCCTAACCGAGCGGTCAGCTGCGTCGAGGCACGGGTCACGCAGGTGGCTGCGAAAGGACTCGGGCGGGACAGCAGGGAGAGACGAGTGCGCAAGCACTTGAATCAGAAGCAGAGCATGCAGGCTCTCCGCGAGACGGTGAAGCTGACCAAGCGTTGTCTCAGGAACGCGCGTCTGCGGAGGCAGCAGAGCCGCCGCCAGGAACCGGAGGGACTCATCAGCTGCGTACGGAGCCGCAGCCGCGCCACTACCCGCCGCCACGAACTCTACCCCTGCGACAGGCGGAACAGGTGGCAGATGCAGGCGAGAGCCGGTCGCCGGCGCCGCAACAGAAGGAGAAGGAACGGACGGGGCAGGGACAAGAGGAAGAGGAGCAACAGCCGGCGGAGGGGCTACAGGATGCACAGGCGAACGAGAAGCAACGGGCTCCGGAGCAGCCTGCCGCGAACTGCTCTGGCTCGGCGCTGCCCTCCCCTGACGTACGGCGCGCGACACCTCCCGCGACACCTCGCGCTAGAGGTCCGCCAGCGTCACGGGCGGCCGATACCACCCGCCTCCACCGCGCCCCGGGGGGCCCCGCCATCCCCCACTGCCACCCGGGTGCGTTGGCCACTGGGCCTGCTGCTGGTAGCGCCGGGGGGAGTTCCGCCAGCGCCGAGACGTCTCGCGCTCCTGCTGGGGCGCTGGAGAAGGGGGCCGGGACAAGCGGCGGTCAGGCGACGGGGGACAAGACGGCGGAACAACCGGAGCCGCCGGCGGTGGAACGGGAGGAGACTGATCCGCGCTCGGAAGAGCAACCACCGAGGGCGGGCCGCCAGTGGTTGCGGACACCGCAAGCGGCGAAGAAGCAGACGCCAGCGCCGCCGGGGACAGCACCGGCAGGTGCAGCTGGAACGCCAGGCACAGGGACAGGATGAGCGGCGACCTCTCTGGCAGGAGCAGATGCCGCCAGCGGCACGGCAGGAACAGGGAGAACAGGTGGAGCGGGCGCGATAGGCGGAGCGGGAGGAGCAACCATCGGCGCAGACGGCTCAACCCCGTTCACGACAAGAGGACGTGCGGATTCGAGGGGAGGAGTCTTTTCAGCGGCTACTAGGCCGGGCGGCGGAACAGACAGCGGCGGGGAGCCCGTCGCCTCGGTCCTCGCTCCTGAGGCAGACGACGGCCTTTCGAGTACAACCGACGCAGCGCCAGCGCGCATTGGCGAATAATCGGTCACACTAGCAATCACCATCGCGAGGACAGGGAGCACGAGGCGATGGGCGAGCAGCAGTTAGCGGTCGAGGAGGGGGGCCAGAGAATGGCTATCAGAGGGAGGCCAGAAGGGCTTCAACTAGGCTACTTAATGACGAAGAAGAAAATGACCCCTCATATAGAGAAGAGCCAACCCCATTGAGTGAGGACGAAGGGACTGAAGCAGAGGAAGGGGTAGAGGAGAATGGGAGAAGGACGAGAGCGAGACCAAGGCGGTCCTTAGGAGAGGGAAGGACCACCGCGGCTGGACCGTTCGATGGCAATCGTACGGGCGAAATTCCAACCGCACCATCACAAGGGAGGCCGGGCCGCACCGGGAGAAATCGGGCCGCGATGGCAGCGGCATCGGTGCGAGACAATCCCAATCCCCCGCGCTATTTTACGCCAGAGGAGTTGGCGACGCGAGCAGATCTGTTCGCTGGCGTCGCAAACTGGGATATCCCAGCCCTCTGCGATAGTCGACAACCATCCCTGGCAAGGCGGTTACCGCCCAATTTGTGCCAGTTGGTTTCGCTGGCGCTGCTAACCCCGGCTGCCTCAGCAGCACCCCTAGACGCACCAGCACCAGTAGAAACACCAGCGCCAACACCCCCAGCAGCTCCACCTCCAGCAGCACCAGCACCAACAGCAGCTCCAGCAGGACCAACTCTAGTTGCTCCAGCAGCACCCCCAGACTCAGCAGCACGTCTCCAGCGGCGGGCGAACCACTCGCGCAGCTCCTGTGGAGAGAGCGGCTCCCTCCTCGACGAAGCAACGCCAACGTCTACACGAGCAGACCCAGCACCCCCAGGCTCAGCACCCCAAGGCCCAGCACCCCCAGTCTCAGCACCTCGAGTCTCAGCACCCCAAGTCTCAGCACCCTCAGTCTCAACACCTCCAGTCTCAGCACCCCCAGTCTCAACACCCCCAGACCCGGCACCCGCAGACCCGGCACCCGCAGGCTCAGCACCTCTAGCCGCACCAGAGTCAACAGCTACCTCGTCAGGCTCGACTGCGTCTACCTGGGACACACCTGACGGGGCAGGACCCTGAGGAGGGAGGGGGTCTACCTGGGTAGCACCTGGCGCAAGGAAGAGCGGCGGCGGGAGGAGGGGCGCAGTGCGGTAGGAGAAGACGGTAGTAAGGCACCGACTCGTCAAAGGTGACGTCCTGGGAGGACAGAACACGGCGCGAGGTGGGGTGGTAAAACCGCTAGCCAGGCGCGTCGGGGGGGAAGCCAAGGAAGACGCAGAAAACAGAATGGGGGGACAGCTTGTCCGCAGACGAGTCGCGGACAAACGCCCTAGATCCCCAAACCCGAAACGCAGACGCATCGCCAACCTTCCCGGTCCACCGCAAGGCGGGGGAGGTCTCTGGCAAGGAGACCCGGGGCTGAAGGTTGAGCTGATGCGCGGCGTACTGAACCGCAAACGGCCACAGAAAATGGGGGGGCAGCCGCATGCATCATGGACGTATGAGCGACGTCCATGACCATGCTAATGCGGCGCTCAGCAATCCCATTTTGCTGTGGAGAGGCCGGAAGCATGAAGGTCTAGCTGATGCCCTGTGCACGACAGAAGGCTCCCAGACGGGCAGAGGAAAACTCCCCGCCTCTGTCCGAGTGCAGACGCAGAACAGGAAAGTCGGAGCCGAAACTCTCTCAGAGCTGGAGACGAGCTGCGCGGATCCAGTCGATCAACACCTCAGTGACGTCACCCTTGTTGCGCAAGGGGAAGACTGTGGTGTAACGCGAGTAGTCGTCAACGACCAGCAGAAAGAAACGCTCTCGTCCCTGCCCGCTGACGCGGGCTGGGCCCCACACGTCCATGTGGAGAGTCTGCAGTGGAGCCTCTGTCGGAGGAAACTCGGAGGAGTGAGGGGCGGCGCGCTGTCGCCCCTCGATGTAGGGGACGCAGGTAGGGCCAGGCCCCGGAGGAAGGGGAGGGAGAGACCGAGGAAGACCAGAGACAAGGACACGGGAGGCCATGCCTCGGAGACGAGGCAGAGAAGGGTGACCAAGGCGGTGGTGCCAAAGGAGAGTCTGGTGGGACAGCAGACGACACGAGCAGGGGGCAAACTCAGGACCAGACCTGGACGCCGCAGCAAACACCTGACTCGACGCAGCTACCTGGGCAGACGCAGCAGCAGGAGGAGAGGGGAGGTAAAGACCGGACAGGGTGCTAAAGGGGGCTGCAGGGCACGGAAGGACAGTGGAGAAGCTAGCAAGGACAGGACCTGCAGAGGGGTCTGCCAGAGAGACTGCAACTGGCCGACTAAGCGGCGTAAGAGTGGTGCGGTCTCGAAAGAAAGAGCGGAACGCACCCGAGTCTAGGGTGAAGGTGTGGAGGGCCTGAGCAGAAGCAGTACCTGAGAGAGCAGACTCACCAGCACCTGGGGCAGCAGACGCACTAGCACCAAGAGCAACAGTCTCACCAGCACCTAGCGCAGCAACCTCAATGCCCGGGTCATGTGGTACACAGAGGTAACAGGCACCCTTAACACTATCAGCAACAGCATACATGGCAGCAAGAATAGCATCAAAGTCAAGATCAAAGATAGCAACCCCAGCCTTGGCCAGATCTCCCCAGTGAGGGATCTCTGACGCCTCAGGGAACTGGCGACGCCACGCGTCCGTCAGGCAACCAAAGCAGCGCTGGGTGGAGTGCGGACCCCCGTACTGCTCACCAGTGCGGTCGCCGGTACGGAGAACGTAGGAGTAAGGACCAAAACCCCCACCTCGCTGGCGTGCAGTGTACCACTCACGAAGCTGCTGAGGGGACATGGTCACACCGCTCCGCTTCTGCTGCTGGCGCTGACCACCACCGGAGCCACTCTTCGGTGCAGAGTCGCGACTCGCACCACCACCGCCGCCGCCGCCGCCACCACCACCGCCGCCTCCGCCGCCTTCGCCGCCTCCTCCTCCTCCGCCTCCTCCACTACCTCCGCCGCCTCCGCTCCCTCCGCCACCTCCACCGCCTCCGCCGCCTCCACTGCTGCCGCCGCCACCACCACCCCCGGCACCACTCCCACCACCACCCCCACTCCCTCCAACGCCTCCACCACCACCTCCACCGCCCCCTCCACCCCCTCCAGAGCCCTTGCCCCCCTTGCCCTTGCCGGTGCGGCGTCTCCCACTCGGGGCAGACGCAGCGCCGACCGACTCGAAACCAACGAGGTCGGCCGCAGCAACAAAGGCGACAGAGGGCAAGAGGGGGGAGGGAGAACACCCCTCAAAGACGGGGGTGCGAGGGTCACCACGAGAGGCTCCTACAGCGACTATGCTCTTTTCTATCTCTAGGAGGGCCTTCTCGAGGAGGTCAACGGTGAGAGTGGTGGGGCAAACAGAGAGGAAGTGGTCCCTGACTACGTGAAGAGAGTCAGGGAGCCGGGTGACTATGTAGTAGAGGGTGATGTACATGGGGGGGGGGGGGGGGGGTTCTTGGCGCAGAACTCAGCAGGAAGCGCAGCGCGGTAGCGAGTGTCAAGAGTGCGGAGGTGCGTAATGAGGTCAGCGACAGTGGGAAAGGCAGCAAGGTCAGGGAAGAGGAAGGGAAGCATGAGGCGGCTCAGTGCAGCAGTGGCAGGGGAAGAGTAGCGTGGAACGACGACGTCGTACAAGGTCTGAGCACTCTTGTACTGGCTAAAGTGCGCACGCTCAGTGGTCGGTAGGTGGCGGCGAACAGCAAGGCGAGCAGCAGCATCACGTGTGGCCCACTGTGAGCGAACAGTGGCGTCAGCATCAGCAGCAGGGGCAGGGGAGGCACCAGAAGTGAGGTCAAACAGGGAGAGGACGTCTGCCCTATCGCACTGCAGAAAAAACTGCAGATCATCTACCCAGACCTCAACGTCCACTGCCGGACCCTCAGCGTCAAAAGTGAGAACGCTAGGGGAAGCCATAACATCAGTAGGCAGGCAGTGAGCGCAGTGAGGCAGGGCAGTGCAGTGGCAGAGACTGGGCTCTTACCAGGCAGTGGCGATCGGGCTGCTCGGCGACTCGGCTGTCGGGCAGCTCGGCTGCAGGGCGGCTCGGCTGTTGGGCGGCTCGGCTGCACGGTGCTGGGCGGCTCGGCTGTCGGGCGGCTCGGCTGCACGGTGCCGGGCGACTCGTCTGTCGGGCGGCTCGGCTGCTGGGCGGCTCGGCTCCTGGGCGGCTCGGCTCCTGGTCGGCTCGGGCGGTCGGGCGGGTCAGCTGCTCGGCGGTGCGGGCGGGGTCGACGGTGGCGACGGGACGGGGCCGTAGCAGGGGCCTAAGAGGGGCCGTAGCGGGGCTGACATGGCCGTAGCGGGGCCGACGCGGGGCCTAAGTGGGGCCGAAGCGGTGCCGACAGAGCCGTAGCGGGGCCGTAGAGGGGCCATAGCGGGGCCGACGCGGGGCCTGAGTGGGGCCGACGGGGCCGAAGTGAGGCCTGAGCGGGGCCGTAGCGGGGCCGAAGAGGCCAAAGCGGGGCCGACGGGGCCGTAGCGGGGCCTAAGCGGGGCCGTAGAGGGGCCATAGCGGGGCCGACGGGGCCTAAGTGGGGCCGTAGTGGGGCCGTAGCGGGGCCGACGGGGCCTAAGAGGGGCCGACGGGGCCGTAGCGGGGCCGTAGCGAGGCCGTAGCGGGGCCGACGGGGCCTAAGCGGGGCCGTATCGGGGCCGTAACGAAGCCTAAGCGGGGCCGGCGGGGCTGTAGCGGGGCCGTAGTGAGGCCGTAGCGGGGCCGAAGGGGCCGTAGCGGGGCCGACGGGGCCTAAGCAGGGCCGTAGCGGGGCCGACGGGGCCTAAGCGGGGCCGTAGCGGTGGCCGTAGCGAGGCCTAAGCGGGGTCGTAGCGGGGCCGACGGGGCCTTAGCGAGGTCGTAGAGGGGCCTAAGCGGGGCCGTAGCGGGGCTAAAGCGGGGCCGTAACGGGGCCGACGGGGCCTAAGCGGGGCCGTAGCGGGCGGCTCAAGGGGCAGTAAGGGCGGCCAAAAGGCGGCCAGTAAAGCGTCTCGGGGTGCTACTCGGGTTAGGAGGTAAGCGTGCTCCGTGCAGGGAAGAAAAAAGTAAGTGGTGGGCCCTAGGCAGTATTCCCACTCGGGAACCTTCTCGATACCATGACGAGAAGTGAGAATGGATGAATGAACTATGAAAGAGCTGGGTACAATTACTTACCCTAATTGGGTTGTACCCCTTAGGGGCTACCCCACTACAGCCTACACAAATGTATAAGCTATAATGTTCTGACACATCTACCGCCTTGAACCTATCGGACCTATCTCTTGGCAGTCGAGCAAGCAGGAACTAATCGCCCTCTCGTCAGCTGAAGCATAGTATATTGCACTCTGTTCAGCCACCAAGGAAGGACTTTACCTTCGCGAACTGCTAGAAGAAGCGAAACTGGCTCAGTTACCCAGCTTCACTCTGTTCTGCGACAACCAGTCGGCAATTCGCATCGCCAACAAGAACGGCTTCGCGAATAGGACGAAACACATCGCCCTGCGATATTTCTTCGTAAAGGACGAGATCGAGAAAGGGAGGCTCGAGCTGTCATACTGCCTCACTTCCGAAATGGTAGCTGACTACCTGACCAAGAAGCTCGGAAAGCAGAAGCTCGACTACTACATGCTGCTGACTGGACAGAGCCACGTCACCAGCAGCGACACTCCAAAAGCGAAGGGGAGTGTTGGAAACAATTGAGCTTAAGCGCCTCTGTCGTGTCGAAACACCAAGGCACAAGCGAAGCAAAGCATATCGAGGCACCAGCGAGTCAACCCTCGGAGGTTGAAGTAACTGCTGGAGGTTACGAGAAAGTCAAATGTCAGCGACCTTTGACCTGACAAGTACAGCGCGACAGCAAGGACGCACAACTGACTCGCTACAGAGCAGTTGCCCAAGTCGTCACTGTATCGAACCGCAACAGCAACAGTAAAGTGGTTATAATAGTATCTCTTCGTATTCCTTGTAGTATCTCCTTGCTTTAGTCGATCTACTTTGCCCTCACATACTAGCACAAGGTGGTTCACAATACTTCATTGAAACGCTTCCGCTATTACATCAGTCCTACCCAGAGTTCATCCCTGCAAAGATCCTAAGGGCTTTTCTTAGCCCAACATGTGTTTCATTTTACAGTAGCGATACATTTTTTAGGTCCTGGTTTTGGCTAATTGTGTTGGTGGTTGGCCAGATAAAATTTCACGGCGAAACCATTAAATTATTGTGAGCTAGCGCACGAGAAGGAAGATATTTTGGAAATGTGGATGCAAGTGATAAGCCGTTGCATTAGTCCCTTGGAATGTGCACGGGCGTTTTAACAACATACCTTTTATCAAATACTGTAACGTTTATGTGCAAACGTGCAATCGGGCTAGCTGCGAGTAACCAAAATGTTATGCCGCTCGCTTTCGCCAGTTCGTGGTGTTTCACCAAATGAATGGGGAAGACTTTATCAAGTCGGTGCGTGTGGTCCCTCTCGGCGCCACGTCAACCCATGTCCACGCATTCTTTGTTGTGCACGATGCGCCAGTTGCTTGCGAGAGTTGCAGTGCTCTCTTTCCGTTTCGGTCAAATCCAGCAATTTCTGGATTACCCGACACAACGTAACGAGGTTTCGGCTCTTAAACCTACGCATGGCACGGCCTCTTGGTACCAACTCTGTAGGCTGACGTTTAGAGAATTCACAGAGTGAATGGTGTCTAGCAGAGACACGCGAGGCACAACATCTGGTCAGTTCCTTGATCACGAACCAGAATGGAAGATCTTAGCATCCACCCGTTTTCAGCAGTGAGGTCTTACAACGTACTGGGTTTCCTGAAAACAACAGATGTTGAAAGGAACCACCACTGCCCCAGCATCACCGACCCAGGCAATTCCTTGTACCACGGAACAGAGCTTGCAATGCGGTTTGAAAGCGTTTCACTTTTGAAACATGCAAGGTGGTTGCAGAGGAAGGTGGTTCTATTCATTACGAGGTGTTACGACCCAAAGAGGTCGGGTCGACCACCCCCGATCCCTCATTTATAGGAAGGCTATTTTGCAGAAAAAGCCGACCATTTCGACCCAACCGAATTGGGTCGGGTCTACCCAGCCGGGCTGACCAGGTTGGGTCGATCAGGTCGACCCAACCCATCCCAACCGTTTTGCGACGAGTTACTTGAGATAACGATTGATAATATATCGCTCAGCTTTCGTTTTACAGCTGCGTACCAATTGAAAATCCAGCGATCGAAGGTTTTTAACGTAACCACTAATTCGGCGAGTTGTTTTTTCTCGTCACAGCTCGCCTAGCCTGCAAGGAAGCTGGATGCCAATTGCGCTGGAGGTGCTTCGACGGTGTGCCAAAATTTCTCAGAAATTCTTTGTGGTTCCGAGCCGCGATGGTCAGGTCGACCTGGTCGACCTGACCCAACCCAATCTTGTTGGGTCGCAACACGTAGTATACAGCTCTGAAAAATTTAGTGTGTCAGCCCGGTTATTTGTCAACAGTCAGGTGTTCAACGAATGTACGGCTTAAAGCCACGGTGTCTATTCATGGGGGTGGCTTTTGGGTGTATTGCTAGTGCACACCCTTTGGCGCACGCTGATTCGAGGGCGAATTTTGCAGGGGGGGACGAGAGCCACATTCGTTTTGGTTCACAAACTGCAAGTTCCCAACTCCCATTACCCCCGTCGCTACTGACGGGAGGGAGACCACCTGCGCAACTCCGCCATCTCTGAAAAGTTGTTCGCGTCTCGCTCCCAGCTACAAACCAGGTAACCACACAAGGCAAGTGATAAACCATTGCCTCCACCCCCCTGAAAGTGCACCCTTGCTTTAACCTCCGCTGCACTTGATAGTTGCGATCCATTCAGCACTCCTAAACGGAAATGGACTGAAATGCTGCCTGCTATTTCGTGGGTTGCAGATTAGGTACCGTTTGAGATAAGCATCATTGTGACTCGTTCAATATTGAACACGCCTGAAATGTCTTCGGTAGGGTTTCCGCCACCTCGTTCTTGCCACAGGAGCAAAGCGAAGGGGAACCTTGCGCATCGCCGCAAGTCCAAAGCTGCACTCACAACAAACAGAGAACCTCGCGAAACACAACCATCACCGGCCACCCTTCGCGCATATCCACTACCCCAGTCATCCGCAGTCCCACCGCTTTTAGCCGGCCGAAACGCGGAAGCCCCCGAAGGGGGGACCCGCCTTTGAGAGCCCAACTCCCCTTCTCCCCCCTCCACCAGACCTAAGGGGACCCCTCCTCCTTCCTTCACCTTTGTACTGTACATCAAGTGCGAGCATCCAATTGGCAACGTGGGAGCAGGAGGAGAGGTACAGTTCCGCTCTCTGCTCCGCGCTGGTCTGCAGCACTACTCTCCGCACTGCACAGCACTCCTTGGCGCTGTTCCGCGCTGCTCCGCTCCGTCCCACGCTGCTCTGCTCCATTCCTGCTGGTTTGGTGGCATTCACGACGAACGACAAAGCGGCATTTCTCTCGCCTCCCTCAACCGACCATGCTGCTCGGCTCTGCTCTGCTTGCTATGCAGCTCTACCTATTCCCCCACTCGCCCCCCTTCAGCCTGGTTTCGTTTGGTTAGGTTGGACTTCCCTCCCTGCCGCATCTGGTGCACTTGGTCCCTTGCTCCCCACATACCGATGGTGGTCCAGTATGCGTGTGGGACGATTGCCGTCCGGTTTGTGTTGTCCCCCCATTTCCGTGACTCTCTTGGTCCATCTCAATAATTATGCGCACGTTGTTCTCTTGCGACTCTTGGTTTTATTTTTGTTACGGAGTAATGCCGGCCTCGTAGGTCAATGCTATTAGCTAGGGCTAGCGGCCTTGGTCATCACTACACAAGCGCATTCATTAATTATCTTTCGCGAAGCTCTATTCAACGCCACCCAAATGAGCGACAGAAGCGCGTGCATAGCGCCGCTTAAAGCGCACGCGCAGCCTACTTAGGAAGTTCAAACTCCACCGAGCCCGTCCGCGCTGCCCTTGCTGCTGTCGCCGCGCCCCACATGACGAGGGATAGCGGTCTTAGCAGCACCAGCAGGCCGGGACCCGCGGGTAGCGGCAGCAACGTCGTCATGCCGCCCTCCTGGACGACTATGGAGTTTGGCGCTCCAGGCTCTCTCCTATATCGCCTCCTATTCCTCGACAAGCAATATCGCGCCTTTTCCCCCTGGCACGAAATTCCCCTTCACGCCGCGCTTCCCCCTTCCGCCTGCCCCTCCCCTCCGCCCGCACACGGGGAGCCGGGCCTATCTGCCCTGTCCTTTTTCTGCGTTACCCCGCGCGGAACGTGGGCAAAGTTCGAAATTGCCCAGGATGAGAACTTCACGCCGGTTCGGGTGGCGGAGCGGCAGCCAAGCGGGGGCCCCGCAAGATACGCGGAAAATTGCCAATGGAACTTGGGCGTGTTACCGCAGACTTGGGGCGATCCGAGGGCGCCCAACGAAGAGTACGGAGGTCTGCCGTACGACGGAAAGCCAGTGCAAGTGTTCGACGTGAGCGGCTCGCGCGGCGCCGCGAGAGTCGGGGACGTGTACGTGGTGAAGCCGCTCGCCGCGTTTGCCGCCGTGAGTCGCGCGCCCGCGGTTTCGTGGAAGGTGGTGGCCGTGGCCGTTGATGACCCGCTGGCTCTGGAGCTGCATGACGTGGCGGACGTACATCGGAAGCTTCCAGGAACGCTCGAGGAGATTCGCGAGTGGTTGCGGTTATCGGACTGCATGGAACCAGGTGAGAGATTAATAAAACATGATTTAAAGAGGTAAGGCAGGCTCATCGCGGTTGGAGCTGCCGATTCTAGTCTTCCTTTTTTCAAGCATCTGGTTAAATCGGTGCCTTTTGCTGCGAAAAGCGAAACAGACGAACGCGAAGTTTGACGACTTTCGCTACTTCCGCTAGCCGAGTAGGCACCCATCGCGCGTCGAAACAGGGCCAATGTCGATTAGGATGTCTCGCTGATTTCGCGGGCCTGTTTGAAGCCCTACTGCATGTATTTGCCCGTCGCCCGTTGCCCGTCTCCCGTCTCCCGTCACCCGTCGCCCGTCGGCCCGTCGTCCGTTGTCCCGCTCTCTTTCTCCTCCTTTACCTCCGCCGTTACTCACGCCCTCCAATTTAACTCTTGGGTAGTCTGTAATGTTTTACGGCGCCGTCCGTCGACCGCGCTGTTGCCGTTAAAGTTGACTCAATTTTCGTTTTTACGCTCGTGGACTGTAAGGTATAGCTTAGTAGTGCTTAGCCTGAGTCAACATCTCCACAGTAACGCCCTGCATTAGTGTCGCGCAACCATCGTGACTAGCCCTAGAAGCGCCTGGCGTTTGGTCTGCGCGCCGATTGTCGCTCTCTTTCGCTCCCTCTCACCCCCTGCTTCCACCCTCTACACTCCCCCACCCATCCATCCCACTCCCCCCTCCCACCACCCCCTTCCCCCTCCTTCTCCTCCCTCCTCTCCCAACCCCCCCCTCCTCCTCCTCCTCCTCCTCCTCCTCCTCCTCCTCCTCCTCCTCCTCCTCCTCCTCCTCCTCCTCCTCCTCCTCCTCCTCCTCCTCCTCCTCCTCCTCCTCCTCCTCCTCCTCCTCCTCCTCTCTCTCTCCCTCTCTCTCTCTCTCTCTCTCTCTCTCTCTCTCTCTCTCTCTCTCTCTCTCTCTCTCTCTCTCTCTCTCTCTCTCTCTCTCTCTCTCTCTCTCTCTCTCTCTCTCCCTCTTTCTTTCTCTTTCGCCCGCGTTGTACTCTCTCCTAGCACCGCAAGCCGACCGCGTCTTGTGCATGCCGCCGTGCCGTCCCCGCGAGTCTAGGGGTTCCGAGGCGTCTCAAACATGTTTTTTTTTTTTTTTTTTTTTTTCCCTTTTATTTGAGCCTTGACAGCGTCCTTTCCCGCGAGTCGCTATTTATTGTTCAGTTGATGCGAAAAATCGAGTCTTCTCTGGGATCGCGGAACCTATTTGAACCTTTTCATTCGCCTTCTCTATTTCTCGCCATCGTCATTAGAGGCGTTGTTGTCGTCACCTTTACATGTCATGGTGCTTTTTTGCGTTGTGATTATCACACAGAGGCTACCGTCTTGGTCGTCGCCGCCTCGGCTCCGTAACTTAATTCCTTCCTAATCTCCTCTCCCTTACTTGGCACTTTCTTCCCCTCATCCTCTTTTGATGATATCATTAATTATTTACCTTCCCGTATCGCCCTGGTTCCGCTATACGTTTACTACCGAGCTCGTTTGCTCGATAAAAGTCGAGCGCGCTCGTGTGCCGTAGTGTTCCATTCGTGGCGTCACCCTTGTTTCAATCAATCGCGTGCTTCGGCCCGGTCGTTCCGCAGCGACTATTGCTGTCCCTTGCTCGCTCCGCCCGCGTTCCGGCTGCGCTCCGTGCTCAGTCCGATCTCAGTCGACTATCAGTCGATTCTTAGTCCGCCTCTGATATAGTTCCGCGCGTTCCGTCAGCTCAGTGCGTACACGACACCGCGTCGTGTCCGTATCGCCTGTGAGGAACGCGCAGTTCCTCGTTACTGGAAAGCAGGTCGCGGCGGCAGCCCGCAGCCGCTTTCCGTCCTCTCCGGTTTTCCATTGTCCTCTCCTCCGTTGGCCAATGTGTGCTGTAACGTCGGTTTCGCGGGAACATCGCATCTAAAAAAAAAAAAAAAAAGCGCATAGCGTATTTTCTGACGTCAACGGAATCATAATAACGAGCAGAGAAAACCGGCTAGTAAGACGCAGTAAACAGCTGATGTGCATAAGAATGAACATGACGTGGCAGTGCCTGCCTGTAACTTGGTTACGAGACGTCGATTTCTGACGCGTCTGGTTAAACACCCGATGCGCCTCAACATGTTGCACGTTGCGCGGCTGCTGCGCACGCTTACACTCTTCGCCTCTCCTCGCCCTCCACGCAGTTCGCGCTATCCCATCCCTCTTCCCCCTTCTCTCCCCCTCTCTCCCACTCTCTTCCCCCTCCCCCTCCCTTTTTCTTTTGACATTTTTGTTATCCGCGCTTTCCGCGCGCACCCTCCGCGTTCTCCCCAATGTCGTACATGAGCTTTCCCTGTTTTCCTTAGCTGGATTTTCGATTAGAAAGAACATTTTCCGTTTTTTTTTTCTCTGTGCTGTAAGCTACGCAAGCCAAGTATTGGCTAGCCGGTGACAGTGCCTCGAGAATGTGATCACTGTAACGAGAAACGCGTGTGCCCGTCCCTCTCAATGTGGTGCCCTTCCCCCCAGCACTCCCCATCCCTTTCCCACCATTTAACACCCCCTCCACCCCTCCCCCCCTCCACAACCCCTCCCTCCCCCCCTTCCCCCACCCCCAAATCCCGTTTCATTTTACCTCCGTCCCCTGTACGCGCCCTCCTCTCTGCCCCTCCCCTTCCTGCTCTCTCCGCGCCGAGCACTTCAATTTATCCTGTCACCTCTGCTCACTCCCCACCTCCCCACCCTCCCGCCTCCCCTCCCCCCTTCCGCGCCCCCCGCGCCCGTCCCCTTCCGTTTTCTCTTTTTCCCCCTCCCGGCCTTTCCCCCCTCGCCTCTTCCCCGCGCCCCCGTCACGCCGCGCCGCTCTAGGCGCCGAAGGCGTCGCGTTCGGCTTCAACGAGCGCGCATTGGACCGCCGGCGCGTGCAAGCGCTGCTCAAGGAGTGCCACGTGGCGTGGCAGCGCATGCACGCCACGCTCCCCATGCCCGAGCCGTGGATCCCGCGCTCGCGCCCGCCCAAAATCTCCACTATCGAAGCCTTCTGGGTGCCTTATACCGAGCGCCACAGCAACTCGGGGAAAGGCGCGCTCACTATCCCCCTTTCGGACCCCAACCCGCGGAGCTACGGCGGGAGCAGTAGCGGGGGGATCGGAGGGGGAGGGAGAGGCGCGGAGGAGGAGGAAGAAGCGGGGGAAAGAGCAGGCGCGGGCGCGGGAGCGGGAGGGCAGTCGGTATGGGAGGTAATGTCAGGTCTAGAAGCGATGCAGATGCTAACTAAGCTCCGCGCGCGCAAGCACCTGTCGCGCCCCGCGTTCTACCAAATGAAAGGGACCATCCCCGGAGGCCCCGGGGTCGCCCTGGGCGGCGCTGCGGGCAGCAGGGGGTCCGGACGCGCGGGGGGGAAGGAGCACGGGGGCGGGAGCAAGGGGAGACGGGGCAGTGCGGCTGGGGGGACCGGGGGAGTTGGGCCGGGGGCGGTAGCAGGGGTGGGAGCAGTTGGGGGAGCGGGGGCAGGAGCGGGTGCGGGAGGGGGTGCGGGTGCGGGAGGGGGAGCGGGTGCGGGAGGAGGAGCAGGAGTCGGGCCAGGCGAAGTGGGGGAGGAGGATGGGCATGGCAAGTCCAAGTTTAGGTGGGGGAAAGCGGCCAAGGACGTGAAAGCATGCACTGTGCCTGCTGTCTCTACTGGCTCGCCTAGGGCCTCCTGGTCCCCTGCCACTGAAGCAGCATCACCAGCAGCAGTAGGAACACCACCAGCACCAGCAGCAGCGGTGGCGGCAGCGGCGGTGGGGGCAGCGGCAGCAGGGATAGGGGGAGGCAGTCTAAGGAGAACAAGTGCGGGTCAATCCCCTGCTGCGACTCAGCCTAGAGTACCATCCATTGGGGATCCCTCTCCTCTCTCTGCCTCTGCCTCTGCTCCTGCTGCCACGCCTTCCCCTCTTTCTATACCCGCTCCTGCCCCCGTTGCCTCCCCGCCTCCACTTGCCGTCGCTTCTGCTCCTCCTGCTCCTGTTCCCGCCCCTGCTGCCACCGCCCCCGCTGCTACTGCTGCTGCTACTGCCGCCGGAGCTGCTGGTGTTGCTGCAGCGGCTGAGCCTGCTCCTACTCCTGTAGAAGCGTCCGTTCTTGCTCCTGCCTCCGCTGCCAATGCAGTGGCCGCTCCCGCTCGTTCCACCTCTGCCACTGCTGCTTCAGCCCCAGCGCCAACAACAGCAGCCGCAGCAGCAGCAGCAGCAGCAGCAGCTGTAGCAGTGCCACCACCACAAATAGCAGCACCAGCACCAGCAGCTGCACCAGTAGCAACAGCACCAGCAGCGCCGGTGCCTGCACGCGCGGCAGTGCTGGCAGCAGCAGCAGCCGCAGCAGCAGCCATGGGTGCAGGAACGATAGTGGTGGGGGGGCCTGGAGCCGGTTCTTCCAGAGGGGGAGCAGCAGCAGCAGCAACAGCAGCAGCAACAGCAACAACAATCGCAGCAGCAGGGGAAGGAGCGTCAAGAGAGCAGCACTCTAGGGTTGGTGCCGCTGCAGCACCAGGGACAGAGGACGGACGAGGAGGAGGAAGAGCGGGAGGAGGGAAACCGGGGCTGGTAGCAGCGGGCGTGTCGGCAGCGTCTGCGAGGAGACGAGCAGCGCTGGTGAAGGAGAAGGCGAGGTTGGATGAGCTGCAGCAGCAGCAGCAGCAAGGTGGGGCAGAGGGCGAAGGAGTAGGAGCACTGGCCACGCCTGCTGCTGCTGCTGCTGCTGGTGGCAGCGGCGGTCCGGGGGGTGATGCAGTTGTGGGAGGTGCAGAGGCAGGAGCAGAGATAGGAGCAGCGGGGGAGGCAGCAACAGGATTAGGGCAGAGGGTGTCGGAAAAGGCCGCTGTTGTTTCTACAGAAGCATCAGCAGCAAGTGCGGTGGCAGCAGCTGCAGATGGTTTGGGCTCCGGCACTCCTGCAACCTCTGCTGCTGTTGCTGCTCCTGCTGCTCCAGCAGTCGCTGCTACTGCAACTGCTGCTGCCGCTGCTGCTGGCGCGGGTGCGACAGCAGGCGTAGGGGCAGGGAGCACCAGGAAAAGCTTGTCTGTGCGGAAGGGCAAGGGGAAGGGCACGGACGCTATCAAGAGTAAGACGGGTATGCAGGAGCAAGGGAAGCAGAGCACGGAGAAGGCGAAGGGCCTGGCTGCAGCACAGGAGGCAGGAGCAGGAGCGGTGGGATCGGTGGGAGCAGGAGCGGTAGGAGCAGGAGGAGGAGTAGATGCGAGTGTGCGTGCTAATGGGCAAGACGTAGCTGTGGCTTCTGCTGATGCTGGTGCCGCTGCTGCCGCTGAACCGGTTGCCGCTGCCGCTGGTACGGGTGCTGCTGCCGCTGCTGCCGCTGCTGCTGCCGTGGCTGCCGTGACTGCTGCGGCGGCTGTAGCTGCAGTTCCTGCTGGGGATGCAAAGGCGAAGGAGGGCGGCAAGGTGAAGCGCGGCCTGTCTGCAAGAAAACCCAAGGGGCAGCAGCAGGAGAAGGCGAAGAAGGGCCAGACTAGTGTGGTGCCCGTGCTGCCAAGCGAAACTGCAAAGGATCTTTCAGTTGCGAAGGTTCCCTCCTCAGGCGATGCTGCTGGTGCGATGGTGGCTGCTGGGGTGGGGGACGAGCGGAGTGACGGAGTGGTGAAGGGCGGGGATGATGGGTTGAGCGCGGTTTCTTGGGGCAACGGGGGAGGTGGGGGAGATGGTGGAGTGGAAGGCCGAGGAGGTGAGCAGCAAAGGACAGGAGCGGTCAAGGAGGCTTTGCTGCTGGAGCAGCAGCAGCAGCAGCAGCAGCAGGAGCAGGAGCAGGAGCAGGAGCAGGAGCAGGAGCAGGAGCAGGCGCAGGAGCAGAAGCAGCAGCTTTTGAAGCGGTTCAGTCCGGCGCCTCTGGATGTGCAGGTGCATGACGATGTGTATGATGCGGAACCGAATGCTGCTGCTCACCCGCAAGAGCTACAGCAGCAGCAGGCACAGGAGGAGGAGCAGCAGCAGCAGCAACAGCAACCGCACGTGTACGCGCCTCCTCTTACGCCCCAGCCGCTCACGCCTCTGCCCGTGTCCACAGCCCCTGCGCTGCTCTCCCCCCTGCGGCAGCAGCAGCAGCAGCGGTGGCAAGCAGTGGAAGAACGGCCGCCGGAGCGAGTAATTATAGAAGACCACCAGGAGGTTCTAGGCCTGGGGGAAAGGGAAGGTGGGGAGGAGGATGAGGAGGATGAGGAGGAGGAGAGGGAGAGGGGGAGAGAGGGTTGGGAGGAGAGGGACGAGGGGAAGCAGGGTGGGGTGTCAGGGGGAGGGGACTGGAGAGATGGGGATGATGATGATGGCGGGATGAGGCAGGGAAGGGTCGGGGAGAACGGAGGGGAGGAGGCAGCAGGGGGGGCGGCCGAGTGTGAGAGTGAGCAATCAGGAAGGGAAGAGATAGGTGACGATGAGGGAGAGGAGGAGAGGGAGGGGGAGAGGGAGGGGGAGGGGGAGGGGGAGAGGGAGGGGGAGGGGGAGGGGGAGGGAGAGAGGGAGGGGGAGGCAGCAGAAGGAAAGTCAGGCGAGTTGGGAACAGATGGAGGAGAGAGGAAGGAGCAAGGGCAGGATGCTCTTGTAATAGTGGCAGATTCTAAAGCAGGGAAAGGGGGCGGAGGCGGAAGCGGAGGCGGGTCAGCGCCGTCGCCTAGAGCTCTAGAGCTGCTGGCAGGGCTGAAGAAGCTGGTAAGTCCGCGGCATAGCCAGTCTGGAAGACGTGTGAGAGGGTTCGGACGGTCAGGCAGCTCTGGTGGGAGCGAGGGTGAAGTTACTGCTGCTTCTCCTGCTGCCGCTGCCGCCACCGTTGCTGCTACTGCTGGTGCTGGTGCTGCTGCTGCTGCTGCTGCTGGTCTTGCTGCGACAGGGGCAGAAGAAGGGGCGAGTGAAGCAGCAGGAGGCATGGATGGGGGCGTGTGGAGAGATGGGCCGGAAGGAGGGTTGCAGCAGGTGAGAGAGGGATTGGAGGAGGAAGGGGAAGGGGAAGGGGAAGGGGAAGAGGAGGAAGGGGATGGACCTGCAGGGGGGCTGCTAGAAGGGATGCTGGCTGGGAAGGGTGTGTTGCTAATGGGTCGCCGATCTAAGCAGCAACAGCAACAGCAACAGCAGCAACAGCAGGGTGTGCGTTATGAATGGGAGGTGGAGAGAGGTATGGGTGGTGAGGAAGAGGTGGGTGGGGAGAGGGAAGGAAGCGAAGAGGAAGCGGAGCTAGAGACGGGACGAGAAGAGGTGGAAGAGGAAGAAGCAGGAGGGGAAGGGGAGGAGGAGGAGGAGGAGGAGGAGGAAGAAGAGGAGGCGGAGGAGGAAGAGGGAGAGATAACTGAAGTGGAGGTGAGGGAAGAGGAGAGTAATGGCGGTTTGGTGAGTGGTGGTGGGGAGGAGAGAGAAGAAGCAGAGCGGTTGGAAGGGGGGTTAAATCAAGGAAGCGATGCGGAGGGTGCAGAGAATGAAGAGGAAGAGGAGGGAGAAGAGGAGGAGGAGGGTGAGGAAGTGGAGGGAGATGAGGAGCAAGAGGAAGAAGAGGAGAGGGTAGAGGAGGAAGAGGAGGACTTGTATTCTGATACGGCAGAGGGTGAGGGGGGTGTTAAGGAGGAGAGCGTGAGGAGTAGTGGAAGGAGGGAGCTTGAAGAAGAAAATCAGAGCGAAGGGGCGACTGAAGAGTGTGAGGAGGAGGGAGAGGACGAGGGAGAGGAGGGAGAAGAGGGAGAGGAAGAGGTAGAGGAGGATGAAGAGGAGGAGGGAGAGGAAGGAGATGAGGATGGGGTAGAAGGGGAGGTGGCGTTGGTGGAGGTAAGAGAGAGGGGAAATGAAGAGGAAAGGGAGAGGGAGAGAGAGAGGGAGCGGGAGAGGGAGAGGGAAAGGGAGAGGGAGGTGAACGCACGAGGACTACGTGAGAAGGAGGGTAGGGGAAGGGGCTACGAGGAGGAAGGAAGGGGAAGCATGGATAGGGGTAGCGGTAGAGAGGACGAGAGGGGCAGAGGGACGGGAAGAGAGAAGGCGATGGGTGGTGACAGAGTCAGGGACGGGGAGAGAGAGAGGGATAGAGAGAGAGAGAGGGATAGAGAGAGAGAGAGGGAGAGGGATAGAGATAGAGAGAGGGAGAGGGATAGAGATAGGGAGAGGGAGAGGGAGAGGGAAGTGGATCGTGCAAGACGGAGTGGGAGGGAGGATGATGGAGAACGGGGGAGTGATAGGGATAGAGACGGTGAGCGAGAGAGAGGCCGCGACTATGGATCAAGGGAGTATGGGGAGAGAGATGCTAGGGAGCGAGAATTAAGGGAGCGAGAATTGAGGGAGCGAGATTCGAGAGGAATGGGTTTCAGAGAAAGGGAGTGGAAGGGCGAGAGTGAGAGGGGTCGGGATGAGTATATGGAGAGGAGTAGGGAGAGGGAGAGGGATAGAGAGAGGGACAGAGACAGAGAGAGGGACAGGGATCGAGACGTGGAGTATGAGAGGGAGAGAGAGAGGGAACGGGAGAGGGAACGGGAGCGGGAGAGGAATAGAAGCAGAGAGGGGCCGTTGCACAGTAGGGGTAGGTCTCCCGCTGGTAGGGCACCCAGACCTGAAGGCTATGGCCCCGGGGGCGAGCGGCGAGGGGATGAGAGGCGAGGGGAGGAGAGGAGAGGGGCAGGGGGTTATGATGGGGAGCGTGGGGGAAGCAGCAGTGGGTATGAGAGGGAGTATGGAGGGGGCAGAGGGGGAGGGGGAGGGGGAGGGTTCTCATTTGATCGGAGCAACTCATATGATCCAGAGAAGGAGCCGGAGAGGGAAAGGGAGAGGGAGAGGGAGAAGGAGAGGGAAAGGGAGAGGGAGAGGGAGAGGGGCGGTCCTGCACAGTACGATAGGGATAGGGCTGGAGGGCCGTATGACCGCGATAGGGAGAGGCAGAGAGAAAGAGAGAGGGAGAGGGAAAGAGGCGGTCCAGGTTCAATGTACGACCACCAGCCTGTCACTCCTCCTCCGCCTGCCGACCACTCGCTGCCTCAGCAGCAGCAGCAGAGGCAGCAGCAGCCGCATTCGGCAAACTGGGATAGGGAGAGTGAAAGGGATTACCGACATGGGCCGGGGGGAGGAGGGGGGCCAGCAGGAGGAGGAGGGTACGATGGAGGGATAGAGTACCGTCGGAATAACACGGGTCACAGTGAGAAGGACTTTGAGACAGGCGCAGGGGCGTATGGAGCGGCGGGAGGGTATGGCCCTATGGGTGCTGCTGCTGGCCCTGGCGGTGCGGGTATGGGAGGGATGGGAGCGGCTGGGCCGGGGGGAGCACCAGGAGCAGGAGCAGGAGCAGGAGCAGGAGCAGGAGCAGGAGCAGGAGCAGGGGGAGCAATGTATGGGTCTGCTGCATACAGGAGGCGGTTTGGCATGGAAGGGGGAGGGTATGGCGGCGGGGATGTGGGCGGGGAGAGGAGGCGGCCGGAGAATTTCGAGTCGGAGGAGATGGAGCTGCAGAAGCAGCTGTCGGGGCAACGGGCGGACCGACGCCGCATGGTGAGTGCTGGGGGGGAGAAAGGGGGAGAGAAGATAGGGAGGGGGAAGGGGCGGGTTTTGAGACGTGTCAAAATGAACTTCATATCATGTGAGTCGGAGGAGATGGAGCTGCAGAAGCAGCTGTCGGGGCAGAGAGCGGACCGACGCCGCATGGTTAGTGCAAAGGGGGGAAAGAACGGGGGGAGAAGGGGAGGGGAGAGTGTAAGGGGGAGAGTTGGGGGTTGAGGGAGTGGGGGACGGAGAAAGTTGGGGTGGGAGGGGAGTGGATGCAACATGAACGTCTAACGAATTTTTGTTTTAACCAAATTAATTTCTATTCTCAACCCACGTGACTTGATATTTCTACCGGAAAATAAAATAAAAGAAAGAAAGAAAAGAAGGAAAAAAAATCTTAAGCGAAGTTTTCCTTTTCTATAGTTGCCTTTTCAGTGGCGTTTACTTGTGAAACCGAGTCACTTTAGAACGTGATTTTAGTGAATGTGTAGGTCGGGCCAAGCCAGGCCGGCCAAACAGGTTTGGTCGGGCCGAGGTGGGTAAAGCTTCCTTGCAGTCCTGACCCGCCTCCCCTTCCCCACTCCCTCCCTCCCATTTCCCCTCCCTCCCACCCTTCCCCCTTCCCTCCCTCCCTCCCTCCCGTTCCCCTCCCTCCCTCCCAGCTTCCCTCCCTCCCGCCTCTCCGTACCTGTTCCATCACGTGCCAATTGCCTCTTCTGCCCTCCTCCCTGCCCATCCTCCTCATCTCCCATCCACCCTCTCTTCCCCTCATATATACACACACTTTCTTATTTCCCTTTCCCACGTCTCCCCCTCTTCCCGCCTCCTTCCGCTCTCCCTTCAACAGGAGGCGATGAGGAAGCAGCAGATGCAGGGGCAGCAGGGCAGAGGAGGAGTACCAGCAGGTTGGGCCAAGCCCAAATGGTCCGATAAAGACGCTGCAAACCCCCATGCTGCTGCTGCCACCACCGCCGCCGCCGCCGCTGGTGGTGCTGCTGCTGGCGGTGCGTTTGGAGCCTATGCCATGTTTGGAAACTTTGCCGGAGCACCCCCGGGTGCGGCCGGTGCAGCAGCAGGAGGAGCGGGTGGGCCGGCTGGTAACCCTATGGGTGCAGGAGCAGCGGCAGGAGGTAACCCGATGGTCCCTCCTGCGTTCATTCCCATGGGTCCTCTCGGGCCGATGATTCCTGTAGCACCCATGGGGGGGATGCCCATGGCTGGGTATGGCCCTGGGGGGATGATGCCTGGGCAGATGATGCCTGGAGGAGGGATGCCTGGTCGCATGCAGGGCATGCAGGGCATGCAGGGCATGCAGGGAATGCAGGGCATGCAAGGGATGCAAGGAATGCCCGGGGGCATGCCTGGTAGGCCAGGAATGCAGGGAATGTCGGGAATGGCCTATGGTGCCCCTCCCGGCTCTGCTGGTGGTGCTGCTGGGGGGTCGTTGCTGTCGCAGCGAGCAGCAGCAGAGGAGCTTCGATCGGAGATCACGGAGCAACGCTCGCTCTACTCGCAGCGCCTCTCTGTCGCTCTCACACGGCGGGCCAGCCTCGGGTCGTATGAGAATGATGGGTCGGGGGGGACGCATACGGGCGATGCCGTTGATCGGGAGAATCTGCACCGTACGTTTTCCGGGTATGGGGGGTATGGGGGGGGTGTGCCCCCGGCTATGGTTAGGGGGACTCCGCCTAGGTATGGCATGGGGGGGCGGAGGCTGGGTGGGGGACCGGGGGGGGGGGGGCGGAGGGGTGGGGTATGCTGCTAGTGTGGGGGGAGGTTATGCTGGTAGTGTGGGGTGGTATGGGGAAGGCGGAGCGGGTTCGCTGAGCCGAATGAGCTCAGGTGATTGGTCTGATTTGCAGGACACACAGAGCGATATTGGGTATGGGGGGGGTGGTGGGAGGGGCGGAGGGTACGGAGGGAGGGAGAGGGAAGGCGGGGGGTACTACGGGGGAGGAGCAGGAGGGGGGGGAGGAGGGGGGCCGGGGTCAGTCGGAGGCAGTCCCAGAATGTCTGCTATGTCAGACAGGCATGGGGATAGGAGGCACCCCGAGGGTGTAGCAGAGGAAGTGGGAGGAGCAGGAGGAGGGGGCGGGGGCGGGGGAGGGCATGGAGGGATGGAGAGGGGAGGGGCGGGCCCACACTCGCACCACATGTACGGGCACCAGGATCGGGTGGGAGGGAGCTATCAGGAGAGAGGTGCGTATGGGCGAAGCCCGTCTCTGGGACCCAGAGGTGGGGGCGGCAGCGGCAGCAGCGGCAGCGGGTACGGGCCTGCAGGGACTGGAGGGGGAGGGGGCGGGGGAGGGGGAGGAGGGAGGGGAGAGCATTACCGGCGGGGGAGGAGCTCGGAGGAGGAAGAGGAGTATTTGGAGAAGCACAGGGGCATGGAGGGAGTGGGAGGAGGGGGAGGGGGAGGGGGAGAGTGGGTGGAGTCACCTGGGGGAAGCACCACAGGGTCAGTGCACAGTCACCAGATACGGGAGGGAGTGAGAGAGGACTATGGCGCGGATGGCAGCGGCAGGCACAGGGGGGGGGGCTATGGCGGCATGGCAGGCGGGGGCGGGGGCGGCGGAGGGGGCGGAGGAGGAGGGGGGTACGCACCTCTAGGGCCGAGGGAGCTGCAGAGGCGGGCCAGTGACTCACCTCACGGGCTGGCAGCGGTGGGTGTGGGAGGCGGGGGAGGGGGAGCAGCAGCAGGGGAGGACGCACGGTCGCTGCGCAGGCAGACAGGGGGGAGCTGCATCAACATTGGCACGTCTCCCTCTGCTGCGTATTCCATGGCTCCCACGCTTCTCCCCTCTGGAGTTGGCCCTGGTGTTCCCCTAGAGGACGGGTTTGTTGATGGGGTGGGCGGAGGGGGTGGTTGGGGAGGAGGCAGGGGCGGGGACGGGGGAGGGCGGGGGGGCAGCACCAGCCTTGCGAGTGGGCCGAGTGGGGAGAGGGGTGGGGGAGGAGGGGGGCTGAGGACGCAGCTAAGTGGGGTGTCATCGGTGGGGGAGGGAGAGGGGGGGGCAGAGCGGACGATTGCCAAGGGGAGGCTGATGCGGCAGCTGCTGGCAGCCGAGCCGGAAAGGCGAGGAGGAGTAGGCGGGAGAGGAGGGAGAGGAGGCGGAGGGGGGAGGCCGGGGAGTAGTAGCAGCTCTAGCAGTGTGCAGGCGTCTAAGTAAGGTGGGGAAGGGAGGGGAGTGAGAGAGACGGCAAGGGAAAGTGAGGAAGGGAGAGTTTGCGGATAAGCAGCATGAGCATGAGCGTGAGCATCAGCTTTAGCGTCAGTGCAACAAGGGAGTTGATGTCACGCAAGCTTGGGCATTAGCTCAATGAGCTTTGAAGGTTGATTGAAACCCACCAATGGGTGCTGCAGCAGCAGCATCAACAACACCATGAGTGGAAAGGTTACCCTACCAGCACCTTGGTCGGGCCTGTACCCGCCATCTATGAGCAAGTGTCGTGGAAAGGGAGTTGGAGCTGTGGAGGTCACATGGAGGCATCAGTCTGGGAAGATACTCTCAGCTGGGTTGTATAACCCTGGTGTGTTTGCCAGGTAATGCTTTATATCTGGTGAAAGAGGTTCAGTGCAAAGTCTGGTGAATACTTGTTTGTGTTTTCTGGTTAGGAGGAAACATCACTTTGTAGTCGCCGTGTTTGTAGAGCTTGGTAGAAACTTCATGCAGGGTGTGGCGGAAGGAGAGAGTGCCTTGCTTGTGAGAGCCTTTTTCGTTCTCGACTTGCCGTTTTGGCCGTCCCATCTCTAGAGGGTTTTTTTTATGAGGTACCGGTAGGTGAATCATATGGTTGAGTAGTTCTTGTGGTTACATATGTAGAGATTCGATTTGTTGGGGAGCCATTTGGAAGTTGTAGAGTAGTTCATATTTAAATATTTAGTAATATTTCTTGCAGCGCTGGTTCGACCTTTTTGTGTGTGCAAAATTGTGTTTCTGGTTTATCAATCGTGGTTGGGTTTCGCTGCTGTTTGCGCTTCTGCCGACTTTTGCTAATGCTTAGTGTTTCTCGTCTGTAATTTTCGTGTGGAGTGCAGTGTGGGAAGAGGCTGACTGTACGGATCAGCTTCTGGATGCTGTCCACGCGTCAGTTTATGGTGGATAGAATGCGCCGCCATTTTTTGTTGCTGATTTCCTCCGCAACACTCGCATTCGGAGGCAGGTTTCCCGAAGGGAACAAACCAGCGCTCTTGGCGTTTCAAAAAAAAAAAAAAAAAAAAAAAAAAAAAAAAAAAAAAAAAAAAACCCAGTTCAAGGTCCACGTGTGCTGAGTAGAACGGAGTTTTGAACCACCAAAACACTTCCACTACACCCTCTTTCCCGCCATTGTGTATTCGGCTATAATGAAGTGAAGATGGGAAAAGCACGGCTAACGGTGGTTAAATTACGTTTTCATATAGTTCAATTAGGCAAATCGAAGATATCAAGGTTTTCCACCTGTTCGGACAGTTCAGTGTAGCGAGAAACAGGGTGTACATAAATATGAAGTCTGATCAGTTGACATTTGCAGCATCAGAACCCGGTTCACCCTGGTTTAAGGTTTTATTGAGGTCGTAACCTCCGGTTTACCCTAGTGACATCAGCGTGCAGTGTCCGTCCATGACAGCTCTCCAGCATTCCTAGCTGGCAGGGCACCCAATTTGACGTGTCGCAGCTGGAAGGTGTGTACACGACCTTGCTACTTTCTTAAAAAACACCCATTCTGAACATGGTATATGGAGCCTACCTGAATTTCATACTTTTATACGAAACTAGGCGGAAAGTCGAATTAACCAGGTTCTGGATAATTCAGGTATCCGACTCTGGACCAGCCTATTTTAATTTGTGGGCTCCAGTATCATTTGTCCCTAAACCTGAATCTCTCATGCATGTGTCTTCCACATCACGGCGAATCACTTAAGCTGCCTGGTTGTGACAAGGTGAACTGGCATCAGGCTAATGCTATGGAACTATTTCAACAAAAAGACTAAACAACATAATTACCCCAGCCAGCTACGACATGTATGCATGCCCATGTAATACATCTACACTCTAAAATAATGTACTCCAGCATTCTGCTCCCATCTCGTGAAAGACCCAGGGGAACCCTGCTCCCAAGAAGTCAACTTCTCTCCCTCGTTCTTCTTGACTGCTGGCTTGGCTGCTCTCTGGTTCCTGCTGTCTGAAGGTCTGCTGCGGTGTTGCCTTTTGGAAGTGATGGGATGGGATGGGTTGGATGTACTGCCAATCGCATTCGCCTTGCCTTTCAGTCCTCCACAACCATATCTTCTGCGTTCACCTGGTGGAAAAGAGGCTAATTTTTGCAACTGCTCGCCTCGCCTCGTTGCGAACGACAACCCATTTTCCCGTGTTTTTCCAAACTTGTTCAAACTTGCCTTTTCTTTTATCTAGCTTCTCGTCTTCTCTTTGCTTGCCAAATTCGTCGGTAACAATGCCGCCACCTTGCCGTGTAGCTCAAACACCGCGTCGTATACTTGCTCGCCGTCAAGTGCGGACCAGTCGGTCAGCGTCAGGCATACTTTAGCAGCCGCCAACAATCATACCATATCCCTAGGGTGCACCTACCGTAACCCTAAAGCCGCCAAAATGGGTCGGCAAGGCGACGCGGCGCGAGGCGGTTCGGAGACCGTGTTTCTCGCGGGCGACGATGATGAGGAGGAGCGGATCGTGGAATTCGACCCTACCGGCCGTTACGGACGCGTACGTGCTGTTACTCACTGCCAGTCTGTCACTGTCAGCCTGTCACCTTTTAAGCCACCTCGGAAGTAGACACTAGCCGTTACGGACCCGTACGTGCTCTCTGATTCTCCCAGCCTCACACCTGCTTCGAGACGAGCGACGGTCGTAGTACGATCTCGCTTACTCCATCCCCACTAGCTTCGCATGATAATTTCCGCCTCCGTACCTAGGCCGTGGATTTTGAAAAAATCAACGTTTTTTTTTTCCCAACTGGACGCCTTTCGAGCCGCAGCCTCATACCCTCCTGGCATTCACCCACCTCGCAAGTTCCCTGACTAGTCAACCCTCCTCATCCTCGTTCCTTTCACGACCCTACCTCCTCGCCGGACTAGGTCTCGCGCGGAATTACTCGAGCCTCATCGAGTTCAGTTACGAGCGGAACGATTAGGTCTTGTTAGCCAAGTCTTGTTCCGTCGATCAGCCAGGTCGTGTTCCGTCCAAGAGAAACGCGTGCGTCTCAAGTCCACTCACTGGAGTTAATTTATGTCTCGCCCGTTTCCTCCTCTTGCTCCCTCCACCATCGTCGTCTCTTGGTGTCATTCCCCCGCCAATTCCCTCTTACTGTTTCCGTCGCGACTTTCGCGGCAAATCAAAACTCGCCTCTCTCTTTTGCCAAACCGTCATGCAAATACCTCTCGTCACGCTCCCTCCGCATTGTCGTCCTGTCGCACTCGCGCGGCGCGGAACTTGCTCAGCCCGCCGCTCTTCCTTCGAACTCCCGTTCTTTGTGGCTTGACTGTTGAGGCGCCGCAAGATGCGATTTGATCCTCTTCGTCTCTCGCGAATGGATATCTCGGGGTTCGGTTGACTGCTTGCGAGCGTAGCAGCAACGGCGCTGCTGTCTCGGGGTTCGGTTGGCTGCTGTCTGAATCCTTTTGTGATTCCACTGCATCAAACCGCGTCGCATCCCATATCATCGCATCAATGCAAGCCCGCTGCTCATTTCTAATGTGTCGTCTCATCACCCACCAAACCCCCCTTCCTCCCCACCCCCTCACCCTCCTCCCCATGGCAGTTCGACTTGGTGTTAGGCAAAGGAGCCTTCAAGACCGTGTGAGCCATCTCCTTCCATCCCCTTCTGCCTTCAATCATTCCCTCTGCATTTCCTCTCTCCCTCTCCCTTCCCTCTCCCCCCCCCCCCCCCCCACCCCCCCCCCCCCCCCTCCCTTCCTTTCTCCCTTTATCATGGCACTCCCTGCTCTCCCTGCTCCCTCCGCTTTCTCTGTTCTCCTCGTTCCTTCTCATGTCCTGCCCACGTCCACCCTCCCCATTCCATCTATTCACTCCCAAACCCCACCCCCATCCCATCCCGCCCACACTCCAATTCCCTCCCCGTCTCTCCTTCCCTTCGCCCCCCCCTTCCCAACCAACCCTCCCCACCCCGTCCTCCCTCGCCCCGTCCTCCTCTCTTCCCGTCTCTCTTCCCACCTCCACTCCTTCTTCCCTCGCCACTCACTCACTCACTCGCTCATGCCCTCGCTTCGTGTTCTGCCGCCCCGCCCCGTATTCGCGCTCAAAGCTTCCTCGCCCTGTCTTGAAGCTTCCTTTCTCCAACCTATGTACCCCCGCCGCCCGCCCCTTTCCCAGCGAATCACGCTCACAGCCCTCTCTTTCTTCCCCTCCCCTTTCTTCACCCCCCCTCCCCCCTCTCCCCTCTCGTCTCCCCCCTCCCTCTCCTCCCCCCCTCCCTCTCCTTCCCCCCCACCACCCTCCCGGCTACTGCCACCCACCACCATTCCTCTGCCTGCCTTCCCTTTTCCTTCCCGCATGCTCTTATCCCCGTTATAACCATCCCAGATACAAGGCGTTTGACGAGGTGGACGGGATAGAGGTGGCGTGGAACCAGGTGAAGGTGCGGGACGTGTTCCAGTCCAATGAGGATCTCGAGAGACTCTATAGCGAGGTGCATCTGCTCAAGACCCTTCGCCATAAGAACATCATCAAGTTTTATAACTCCTGGGTGGATGCCAAGACCAAGAACGTCAATTTCATCACAGAGGTTTTCACCTCTGGCACGCTTAGACAGTAAGTATTTATCCGGCACACTTAATTGCAGCGCAGCTACATTTGTGTTCTTTCTTACCTACATGTATCCTCCATGTGTTTTCTCTTTCGTCGTCTGAAGCCGTCTGGTACGCGCTTTTTCCCCTGCTTTCTCTCGTATTTTCCATTCCCGTTCGCTCCTCCCTCCCCTCACCCACCCCCCACCCCGCATCCCCCACCGCTCTACCGTCCCACCCCACTGACTCTCTGCCTTCCCATGGTTTCTTTCCTGCTATCCCGCTTGGCTTCGTGCTACCCATCATTTAGTTTATTGCAAGGCAAGCGAGATAGGCACTGCGTCCGTGCTGCTGTGGTTCGCTGCATTGCACTTCCGCTTCGAACCACCCCTATCTCCTCCTCTCCCTTCCCTTCTCCCCATCCCTCTCCTCCTCCTTCCTCTCCCCTTCCACCCCCGCTCCTTTTCCCCTCCACTCCCCGTCTTCTTCGCCCTCTTCCCCTCCTCCCCCCCCCCCCCCTCCCTCACACAACGCCCACCCCACCCCTTCCCCCACCGCCCCCTCTTCCCAGGTACCGCAAGCGGCACAAGCAGTGCGATGTGCGGGCGGTGAAGAGCTGGGCGCGGCAGATCCTGCGCGGGCTGCTGTACCTGCACTCGCACGACCCGCCCATCATCCACCGCGACCTCAAGTGCGACAACATCTTTGTCAACGGGCACCAGGGCGAGGTCAAGATCGGCGACCTGGGGCTGGCCGCCATCCTGCACCAGCGCGACGCTGCGCATAGTGTGATCGGTGAGGGGTGGTGGGGGTGGGGAAGGTTGGGAGGGCCGGGAGCGGAAAGGGAGGGGAGGGGAGGGGAGGGGAGGGGAGGAGAGGGGAGGGGAGGGGAGGGGAGGGGAGGGGAGGGGAGGGGTGGGGATGTGTGACGTGACTGTGACGGACCCCGTGTCTCACCAGGACGTGCATTGCAACCGAGCTCCAGGGTGGGCGGCAATGGCAGCAGCAGTTAGTAAGGTGAAGAAATTCGCGCGTCGGAACGCGTAGGTGCGCTTCCATGCCCTAGCAGTCGAGGCTTATGGCTACCCCCCGCCGGGGGTGATGGATGGCTTACCTGCGGTGCGGCAGTGCGCGGAGCTAGCGGCTAAGCTGCGCTTCAATGCAGCACCCACCTCATACGAGGCTGCCAAGTTGCTGACGGAATACCGCCAGCGCTGGAGCGTGTGCCTCCAACGAGCACAGGCCAATGCCCTCCGCTCAAGACCAATGAGGCCCTGGCTGCGGACGAGCTAGGCATGCAGGGGCCCTTTGCCCCCCTTAGCGAGGGGCAGTTGCACCAGCTGATCGAGCCCCTGTTCGACCACTAGGTTCGGACAGAAGGGGGCGGGTGTGGCTAATTTGTACGTCTGGTTCCCATCCCACCCTCGCCCTCCCTCGCACTGCAAACCAACCGCATTCCCACCGTCCATGTCGCATCACCCGTGCCTCTACCTTCTACCGAGCAACCCTTACCGTCTCATTCCCCCACTCCCTTTCCCCTCCCCGCGCACGCCGGAGTTCATGGCGCCGCAGCCGTACGAGTATCTGCCAGCCAGTCCAGTCCCCGCTGCTGCTGCCCACTGTATCGTTGACTCCGCACCACTTTTCCCTCTGGCTCCCTCTCCCCTGCTGCTCTCCTCTGGCACGCCCGAGTCATGGCGCCAGAGCTGTACAAGGAGGAGACCAACGAGCTGGTGGACATATACGCGTTCAACCTGCTGCCATTCCATTCCCCCTGACCCCCATGCTAAAATTGACTTGACGCCACTTTCCCTTGCCACTGGTCTCCCCATTCACCCCTCCCCCCACACACCAGGCACGCCGGAGTTCACGGCGCTGGAGCTGTACGAGGAGGAGAGCAACGAGCCGGTGGACATATACGTGTTCCACGTGCTGCCAGTCCCTCGGCGCCTCAACCTACCGTTATTGACTTGACTTGACTTGACACCGCGTTCCCCTGGCTCCCCCTCGCCTGCTGCTCTCCTCAGGCACCCCTGAGTTCATGGCGCCGGAGCTGTACGAGGAGGAGTACAACGAGTTGGTGGACATATACGCGTTCGGCATGTGCGTGCTGGAGATGGTGACGCTTGAGTACCCCTACAGCGAGTGCACCAACGCCGCACAGGTCTACAAGAAGGTCACTTCGGTGAGTGCTGCTGCTGCTGCTGCTGCTGCTGTTGCAAGAAGCCTTTGGCGCTGCAGCGAGTGAAAGACACAGCTCTGCGCGAGTTCATAGAGCTCTGCCTCGCCTCTGCCTCTCGCGGCTGACCAGCCTTCTAACACGCCTCAAAGTCCCCTTCCCCCTCGTCCCTCCCCTTCTCCCCTCCCTCCTCTCCCCCACCCCCCTCTCCCCTCGCCCCTCTTCACAGGGCAAGAAGCCTCTGGCGCTGCAGCGAGTGAAGGATACAGCACTGCGCGAGTTCATAGAGCTCTGCCTCGCCTCTGCCTCTCGCCGCCCACCAGCTCGAGAGCTTCTCAACCACCCTTTCCTCGTTGAACCCCACCGGCCCTCCCCTGGCCTTGCCTATGCCTCCTCCTCCTCCTCCTCCTCCTCCGCTGTTTCTTCTCCCACTCTCGCTGCCACGGCGCCGCCGGTGGTGCCTGTGCCGTCCGTGCTGCCCCCTGCAACAGCAGCGGAAGCAGCAGCAAGCATTCGCAGCAGTGGCAGCACGATTAGCAGCAGCAGTGGGAGTGGTGCTGTGACGACTGCTGCCTTGCATCCGTCTCTCTCTGCTCCGACTTTGCCGCTAGGAGGAGGAGCACACGTGGCAGTGCAGGGGGGCGCTGGAATGGGGAAGGAACGAACAGGGGGGAAGGAGAGGGTTGGGGGGAGGGAAGGGGGAAGGGAAGCCGGAAGGGTACGCCAATCGCCCATGAAGTCCCCTCGAAAGGGAAAAGGATCGGTTGGATTTGCAGACAGGATTCCTGGCTCGTCTCCCTCCTTTTCTGCTGCTGCTGCTGCTGCTGCTGCTGCTGCTGCTGCTGCTTCTGCTGGTTCTTCTGCTGCTACTGCTGCTGGTGGTTCTTCTGCTGCTGCTGGTTCTTCTGGTGCCAGGGGCACTGGGGCGCTTGAAGCAACAGCGCATCATTCACCGTTACGCCGCAGCAGCAGCAGCAGCAGTAGCAGCCGGAGCATGAATGGAATGAGGCAGGAGAATGCAAGCACAAACACAAACACAAACACGAAGACGAGCACGAACATGAATGCAAGTACGAGTGTGACACAGGGGCACAGGCGCAAGGGCAGCGGGGGGGCAGTGTCCGAGCTGGGATGGGGAGGGGTGGCGGATAATGCAGGGAGAACTGCAACGGGGAGGATAGAGCACGGGGCGATGATGAGTGAACGGGGGTATGACAGTGCAGGAGGAGGGTGGGAGCAGAGCAGCGGCAGGCGCCTTAAGCCGTCCCAAAACGTGGCTTCTATTGCTCGGTATACTGGAGGAGGTGGTGGTGAGGAGGAGAGAGGCAGCAGGAGCAGCAGAGGCTGGAGGGAAGGCGAGCAGGCGGAGGTGAGGGGTGAAGAGGGATGGAGAGAGATGAGTGGGGCGAGGGCTGTGGGGGGTGGTGGAGAATGGGGGGGATGGGGCAGCGGCCCACAGGGGTCTGGAGAAGGTTACTGGAATGCAGGTAGTGCGATTGGAAATGGGTTCTGGGGCGTCGGGAGCAGCAGCAACGGTGATCATGGGATTGGATATGGCAATGACATTGGCAGTGGCAGTGGCAGTGGCAATGGCAGTGGCAGGTTGTGGCAGGGTGGCGACCGGAACGGGCCTGAATTCCAATGGGCAAATACGTCAGAGCAAGAATTGGGCATGGGTATGGGCCAAAGCATGGAAGGGCGGATGGGGATGGGAGGAGCAAGCATGAGGACAAGAAGGGACAGGGGGGTGGATATGGGTATGGGCACGCGCATGGGCATGAGTGGGAGTGTGAGCATGAGCCAGTTGCCAGGTGACACGACAAGGCATGACCAGGGGTATACATGGGAGATGGGGGAGAGGGGACGCATGGGCATGGGCATGGGTATGGGGATTGGCGCGGGGGTTGGCAAGGGGATTGGCAAAGGGATGAGCATGGGCATGGGTGCGGGCAAGGATAGGAGTGCGATGATGGGCGTGGGTGTGGGCAAGGGGATGGGTGTGGGGAAGGGCGGGAGGGACGTGGGTGGTGGCATGGATTGGAAGTATGCAGGACACACGCAGGATTCCCGTCCCGCTATGCTCCTCCATTCCAAATCGCTGAACATGAATTATGAGCACGAGTATTCGTATGAGGATGAGGATGGGAATGGGAATGAGGATGAGGATGAGGATGAGTATGAGTATGAGGATGGGGATGGGAATGGGAATGAGGATGAGGATGGGGATGATAGAGCTAAGCCTCTCTCCCGCCCTAACGCGCTATCCAATTCACAGCCCGACACGCACATACCAGCACATAGTGTGGCGATTTCTGATGCGCCCGAAACCTCGCGCTCCCGCGTGTATATCCCGGCCCATGGCGAGCAGGAGAAGCAGGGCAGGAGCAGTGGGAAGCGTGTACCTGGCACTAGCGGCAGTCATGCACAGCGCAGCAATCAGGGTAATGAGGGCAGTGGGGTGAATGAGGTGAATGGAGTGAATGGGGTGAGTGGGGTCAGTGGGGGCAGTGAGAGAAGTGGTAACCTTGTGAGGCGGAGAGATGCTACTGATCCCTCTGCTCGTGACTTGGTACCCTTCTCAGGTCGCGCTGCTGCCAGTGCTGCTGCTGCCAGTGCTGCTGCTGGCAGTGCTGCTGCTGCCAGTGCTGCTGGTGCTGCTGATGTGATGCAATTGGTCGAGAGGGGATTGCAAGCGGGTGGGAAAATTGGGGTTTCTGCATGGGGTAGGTGGGATGATTCAGCTGAAGAGAGGGGCGGGAAGATAGTGGGGGGGCATGAATCGCTAGGGTATACAATTCATGGGCAGCAGCAGCAGCAGGTGGAGGGGCAGCAAGAGGAGGGGAAGCAAGAGGAGAGGCAGCAAGAGGAGGGGAAGCAAGAGGAGGGGCAGCAAGAGGAGGGGAAGCAAGAGGAGGGGAACGGCGAGGGTGTGTGCACGCAGCAGCAGCTCCTCGACCCTGCCTGCGTGTGCCTGCGCCTGAGAGTGGCGGATGGCAAAGGTGAGTCAGTGTCAGTGTCAGTTAATCCATTCACATTGCCGTGTCGTCGCCTCTGTGGAATCTGATAGTTTTCTTCTTGAGCATTCTCGCTGTGGTTGCAACATGTGTTTTGCTCTCCATTTGATGTTTGAGAGAATGCTTAAATTGATACAACCATTCGAGGATTTTTATTGGATGCTTCCTCCCTCCCTCTCTGCCCTCCTCTGCTGTCTTCTTCCCGATCCCCCTCCCACATCCCCTTCCCATCCGCCCATCTCCCCCCTTCCCCCCTTCCTCCCAACACCCCCCATCCCACCTCCTGCACAGGTCGCTCGCAGGTCATCCAGTTCCCCTACAGCGTCGCCTCCGACTCGCCCTCCAGTGTGGCGCATGAGATGGTGGAGGCCTTCTCTCTGCCCTCCTCTGCCGTCCATGCCATCTCCTCCTCCATTCACCACCAGCTGCTCGCTCTCCTGCCCTCTGCCGCGCTTGCTACTGCGGCTTCTGCTGCTGCTGCTGGGGAGGGCGGTGCTGCTGGAGTTGACCTTTCGCCGGCTGCTGATGGTGATGGTGATGGTGATGGTGATGGTGATGGTGATGGTGATGGTGATGGTGATGGTGATGGTGCTGGTGATGGTGCTGGTGATGGTGCTGGTGATGGTGATGGTGATGGTGCTGGTGATGGTGATGGTGATGGTGATGGTGATGGTGATGGTGATGGTGATGGTGATGGTGATGGTGATGGTGATGGTGATGGTGATGGTGATGGTGATGGTGCTGCTTTTGGTGGTGGGCCCTCACCACATGCTGCAGCGGTGGCAGCTGTTGCTGGCAGTGCTGACGCTGCTGCTGACGCTGCTGCTGATGCTGCTGCTGATGCTGCTGCTGATGCTGCTGCTGATGCTGCTGCTGATGCTGCTGCTGCTGCTGATGCTGCTCCTGCTGTATCCGCCCCTGCCACCCGTAAACCTCTCACCAGCCTGTCTTTCCCTTGCTCTACTGTCACCACGCATGCGTCTTCTCATTCAAGTACCGCTAGCGTCTCACAGGCGGAAACGACTGCTACCACTGCTACCGCCTGCCTTCCTGTTGATGCTTCTGCCACCACCACCCCTGCTGCTGCTGCCTCAATCACTGCTGCAGCCACAACAGCAGCCGCAACATATGGAGCAGGGGCAGGAGCAGGGGAAGGAGCAGGGGCAGGAGCAGGGGCAGGAGCAGGGGAAGGAGCAGGGGCAGGAGCAGGGGCAGGAGCAGGGGAAGGAGCAGGGGCAGGAGCAGGGGCAGGAGCAGGGGAAGGAGCAGGGGCAGGAGCAGGGGCAGGAGCAGGGGAAGGAGCAGGGGCAGGAGCAAGGGAAGGAGCAGGGGCAGGGGCAGGAGCAGGGGCAGGAGCAGGGGAAGGAGCAGGGGCAGGAGCAGGGGAAGGAGCAGGGGCAGGAGCAGGGGCAGGAGCAGGGGAAGGAGCAGGGGCAGGAGCAGGGGAAGGAGCAGGGGCAGGAGCAGGGGCAGGAGCAGGGGAAGGAGCAGGGGCAGGAGCAGGGGAAGGAGCAGGGGCAGGGGCAAGAGCCCTTGTTCTCTCTCTTGTCTCTCCCACATCGACTTCTGCAGCAGCAGTAGCAGCAGGAAGTGGGGACTCCTCGCTCCCTCCAGACTCTCCCTTCACACTCGCGCCCACCTCCTTCACCCCTCCTCTCATCCTCCCTCCGCCTCTCTCCACAGCCTCTTCTAACGCCACTAGCACCTTTGCCTCTGCCCTCGCCTCTCCCCACTCGCCCATGTGTCATCCAAATGACACCTGCGTCTGTAGCAGCAGCAGCGATACAGCGGTGATTGCCTGTGCCACGTCTCCCGGGATAGACAGGGACAGTGGGGCTGTCGAGGGATTGGGGGGCGTGCGCGAGGGAGAGGGAATGGGAAGGCACGTGAATGAAGACCCTGAGGGTGGTTGGGCAGGTGCGGAGGAGAGAGGGAAGGAAAGGAGTGATTTTAAGGAGGAGGTGGAGACGGGTGACAGAGTAAAAACTGCTTTGCTGGCAGACCAGCAGCATGACAAGGGGGGTGAGTTGATGGGTGGTATGGGCGTGGCCAACACTTGCCTTGTTTGCAAGGAAAACGATACCAAAAACATTGCCGGAAAGTGGGTAGAAGAGAGGGAGGGGAGCGCCAAGACAGAGGCTGGGGATGGTGAAGACTCAGGCCAGTCAAATAGTGTGGTTGTGGTGGAAGGTGACTGTACCGAAGGCTCGTATGGATGGGGAGGGCAGGCTTGTAGAGAGGGTGATTACAAAACGAGTGCGTATGATTTGGAAAGGATTATTTCTCTAGATTCTGAAGGAGACAGGGCAGCGGAGCAGGGAGGCAGGGGCCAGTTTGGTAGTGTGGGAAGAGAGGGGAGCATTGGAGGTACAGTTGAGTCATGTGTGTTTGAACCACTGATGTCTCCAGTACAATCGGAATCACCTGGTCATGCAGAAACGCATGAGTCGACCCAAGCAGTTCAGGGGATGCATACATGTGCTGTTTTCCCTGATCGTACCAGCACAGCTGCTGCGGGGGCAGTGGGTGCGGTATCAGCAGAGGGGTTAGAGCTCGGTCAGAGGGAGGAAGGGAGTGCACTGGTGGATGAAGGGCAGTGGAGGGTGGGGGGGCACGCAGTGCAGTGTGCATTGAACAGCTCGTCTGAATTGATACAGGTCCCACTCTTGGTTCCTGTTGACTCCGCCGGTGTTGTTGCTGATTCGGCGGCTGCTTTTGATGCTGCTGCTCCTGCTTCTGCTGGTGATGATGATAATGCTGTGTCTTACTCCTCACCCTCCGTGGCCACTGCGGCCCTTGCTGCTGCCACTGCCAAAGCCCCTGCCACTGCTGCTGCTGATACTAATACTGCTGCTGCTGCTCAATCCACTGTTGCTGCCCATGCTGCAATCTCCGTTACAGATTCTCGTGCAGAACTTTCAGCCCTTGTGCCCACGCCTGCAGCGCCAGCAGACCTCCAGCAGACAATACTGAGTCTGCCTATAGTGAGTCAGGATTTTCTCGAGGCAGCCCAGGTTCAAGAGCCTGCAGCCACGGATCCTGAGCTACTGCAGGTGCATGGAAGATTCGTTTCCTTCCCAACACCCTCGGAGGGCGGAGACTCTAGCAACAGCAACACCAAGGACAGCAACAGCGACAATAACAATAGCAATAAGAACAACAGCAGCAGCAGCAACGATGGGATGCCTGCACTTAATTCAGTAACAGCAGCTCAAGCAGCACAAGGCGGCGAGAGAAAAGTGGAATCATCATCTTCATCAGCCGCAGCAGCAGAATTGTCATCAGCAGCAGCCGCGGTAGCAGCAGCAGCAGGCGAGGAGTCATGCGGTGTCGCAGTGGAGTCGGCAGGAGTGCTGGTCGCAGCACCATCACCGGGGGGTGCAGTAATCAGTGCAGTACCAGCACCACTGGTAGGGCTTGCACTCTCATCAGGAGAGTCTCTGGGGGCTCTCAGTTTGGAGGATGCTGCTGCAGGGATGGAGGAAATGGAGGAGCTTGGGGGAATGGGGGGTGCTACAGTTGGCTCTTCTGCTGCAGCTGCTGCCTCCGCTACAGCTGCATCTGTCCCTTCAGAGGTGGACTGTAGAGGTCGTTTTTCTCTAGAATTGGCCTCTCATGTACTGGCCGTGCCTGTGTGCGCAACAGAATCCTCAGAAGCATACACATCCGAACCACACGCATCAACAGCCCTCTCTTTGAAAGCACACGCTTTAGAAGCACATGTTTCAGGGGGGGTAGCGCTAGCACCACCACCACGACCACCTGCTTGTGCTGTGCATGCCGATGGCATCCATTCCGCAGGGGACATCCCAGTAGAGAGGCAGCTGGAAGAGAGTCTGTTGACTCCGTTGACCCCGTTGGCTCTGCTGGGGAAGCAGGAGCGGCGGCGAAGGGCGTTCACAGAGGCGCTTCTGAAGAGTCTCTCTCTCGGGGTGGGGAGTGCGAGGAAGCTGTGGAAGGGAGGGGCTGCTGTTGCTACTGGCGCTGGTGCTGCTGCTGGCACTGACGTTGATGCTGGCACTGGCGCTGCTGCTGGCACGGGCGCTGCTGCTGTTGCTGCTGGCGCTGGCAGTCTGACGGTGCCTGGTGATGCTACTTCTGTTGCTGCTCCTGCTGCTGCAGCTGTTGCTGCTTCTAGCGCTGTTGGTTCAGTCGATACTGCTGCTGCTGCTGCAGCTTCTCCTGCTGCTGCGGCCGCTGCTGCTGCTGTTGCTGCTGCGGATGCTGGTGCCACGTCTCCTGCTACTGGCAGATACGGCTTGAGCCCTTTTTCCTATCACTTTCTGGCGCCGGCACGCTTGGGAGAGAGCAAGAGGCGCAATAGCATCCATGGCACCTGCGACAGCGGCAATGATCGCAGTGGCGGCAGCAGCAGCGGTTTCAGGAGGAGCAGCAGCAGCAGCAGCAGCAGCAAGCAGGTAGAGGAGGAGCATCAGGTGCTGCAAGGGCGCCTGCTGCAGTGGAGTGAGCGGCTTCAGACGGGCGAGAGGAGGCAAACGAGAGAGAGGAGTCAGACGGGAGAGACGAGTCAGTCGGGCGAGAAAGGTCAAACAGGGGAGAGAAAGCGGATAGGAGAGAGGGTTTCAAGTGCAGCTGTGGTGGCAGATTTAGATCCAAAGAAGAGTGTGGCGGTGCTGAAAGAGAGTGAAACTATCAGGGTGGATACTCATACTGGCGCTGGTGCCGGTGCTGGTGCTTCTGGCGTTGATTGTGAGGTGGAGAGTGCGGAACGGAATGGTTATCTGGGCATGCAGGGAAGGGAAGCATGTGATACGTGGCATGTTTGTGCAAGTGATGTGGGATTGCAGAGCGGGGAGAGGGTGAATGGAATAGAGACGGAAGAGAAGAGGGAGGAGATGGAGGAGCGGGAGATGTGGAAGGAAGTGACGAGGGAGACGAGAACGGGGGATGAGGGAAAGGGGGGGCGGTTGAATGGGGAGGGAACGGGGGAGGAGGAGAAGAAGGAGAAGCAGGAGGAGGAAGGGAGGGAACCGGAGGAGAGGGAGGAGTTGAAGCGCCGCGATGCGGCATTGCTTCAGGAAATGGAGAGGGAGATCGAAAGTGTGCGAGCTAAGTACAGAGAGAGGAGGGAGCAGCTGCATGCAGCGTGGAGAGAGAAGAGGGCAGTGAGGATACGAGGAGAGCAGCAGCAGCACCACCAGGTTTCTTTGATTTAAAACGGATGCTCAGACACTGCGTAGTGAAACCAAACCTGTCAATAAGGCAATATATAGTGTATCTGAGGCACTGCAGGTGCCTCCGAGCCTGTGGATGAGGCTCGGAAACAGGACATGCATCGAGGTAGTCCTTTTCTTACAATAGGGAGTAGGGAGGAAAGGGGGAAGATGGAATGGAAAGTGGTTTCAGGAACTGGGGCTAAAACGGCAGTGGCATGGTTTCGACGTGAGGAGAGCGGGTAGGAGATACGGGAAGGGGCATCCAGACTGGAGGGATGGAAAAGAAACAGCAGGGAGGGTTCAGCAGCAGAAAGGGCAGCTTAGAGGACGGGCAACAGGGTGGTCGTTCTTTGGAATCTCGAGGACTTGTTGAAGCAGGCGGGTGAGGGAAGTGTGGATGGAAGCAGGAGGGGCAGGTAGGAACAGCAGTGGTATAACTACTTGGGTCTGAGCTGTGGGCTGTGGTGGTAGAAGAGGGGGCTCAAGGATTGCAAGGGGTGGGGGAAGCGGACATGTGAGAATACTAGCTGGATGTGCGAGTTGGTTGAATTCGTGTTATTACTGCAGACTGGGGTTTCAAGCAGTAGATTTTTGCCTAATACCGATCTTTGCCTTTGCCTTCGCGATGAGTTTCCGTAAGTCATTAGTGAACCAGATATATGTATTGTAAGATGGGTTTTCTAGAATGTAGAGAATTAATTATGGTCGAAGGTTCTATTGGATGACTGAACATTACTTCGACGACACGGTGCGCTGTACAGTGGACTTGATGCAGCTATCGCCATTGGAACTGTATTCCTGAGATCGGGCCTTCGGCCCAATGCATGGTTGCGTCACCCAATGACGGTGAAGCTGTAGAATCTCGCACAGTGCAGCAACATGCGGCCACATCTGACCACCATTCATGGCTGGACATCCTGTGCGGTGCAGCAAGCGAATGTAGAGAAACGGAACCAAAACTGCTTTTCAACATGCGCCGCTGATTAGGTCCAGTTGCAACCCATCCTCTCTTCTCTCCCTCATCTCAGCTCCCCCCCATTCAACTCGATCCTGCGAGCCTCGAGAATTCATCTGGAATTCATCACTCTTCAGATCAAGTGAAGAGGCAAGGCAGGGCTTGCTTGTTGCCAAGCCCTAGCCTCGAGAAGCAGTCTTCGTCGCCACAGGCACCCTTAGCATGGACGATTACGAAAAGCTAGAAAAAATTGGGGAAGGCACCTATGGTAAGGTTTACAAGGCACGATGCAGGAGAACAGGACAGATCGTCGCCCTGAAAAAAACGCGGCTCGAGATGGAGGAAGAGGGTGTTCCGTCCACAACTCTGCGAGAAGTAGCTCTGCTCAAGCTACTATCGCAGAGCATGTACATTGTCAGGTCAGACAGTCTGTGAAGACGAGCCTGCTTTCGGGTTTTGCATTTGTTGTCGTCGTACTGAAGTTGCGAAGCCGTTTCTCGCAGGCTGATAGCTGTCGAGCACGTCCTCTCCAACGACAAGCCTGTTCTTTGTCTTGTATTTGAGTTCCTTGATACGGATCTTAAGAAGTACATAGATGTCAATGGTCGTGGCCCTGGACTTCCTTTGGAGCCGCATAAAGTGAAGGTGAGGTGATTTCGCTGTATTCGAAAACTCAGTCCCTCTTGGTTTCGCCCCGTGCCTAACCCTCAGCTGTTGAAATGCAGAATTTCATGTATCAGCTGTGTCTTGGAGTATCTCATTGTCACAGCCGAGGGGTCATGCACAGGTACGACCGACAGTATTTCACTAATGGCTCCTACTTCGACATCAACGTTCACTCAAACCGTTTTTGCTTTGATCGCAGGGATTTAAAACCACAAAATCTTCTTGTAGATAAAGAGAAAGGCATTCTGAAAATCGCAGATTTGGGTCTTGGCCGGGCCTTCACAGTCCCACTCAAGAGCTATACTCATGAGGTTGGCCAGCCTTCTTGGTGCTGTTGCTCGCCAACTCTTTCCACACGATCTCGTCCACTGACTCAGTACTTTTACCTGTCGTCAGATTGTGACCTTGTGGTACCGCGCACCTGAGGTTTTGCTGGGATCAATCTACTACTCAACCCCTGTGGACATGTGGTCTGTTGGATGCATTTTTGGTACGGCAAGCTACTTTTTCTCTAGTTCCGGAACTGCCACGCGTCGTTTCACTGACGCAAACTGTATGTTTGGCAGCTGAAATGGCCCGCAGAGCTCCTCTGTTTCCAGGCGATTCCGAGCTTCAGCAGCTTCTACACATCTTCAAGTAAGTCCAAGCTCTTCAACACATTGTGCAGTATCATCTTGGTCCCGTCCTCACGAAGTATCATGTGCTCTGCAGGATTCTCGGGACTCCAAACGAAACCGTCTGGCCAGGCGTCACAAAGTTGAAAGACTGGCATGACTTCCCTCAATGGCCCCCTCAGAACCTTGCACAGTTTGTCCCCGAGTTAGATCCCCTAGGCATTGACTTGTTAGAGGTGAGTGAAGCCTCCTTGTTATCTACTCGTTTGAAATCTGTACACTGGACTAACCCCGTTTCAATCCCCCGCATGTGCCATTGCAGAAGTGCTTGAAGTACGACCCTGCACAAAGAATATCTGCCAAAGATGCTCTCAACCACCCATACTTTGACAGCCTTGACAAGTCCCAGTTTTAAGGATCTGTCATCATACCGTCACCCCCCGGATATACCCCCATGGGGGGCAATAATAAAACAGGTTTTTTCAAGGGGGTGGGCTTATAATCGAGTAAATTTATAAGCGCCGGCGTTTATAAAATGACATTCATATTTTTTATATTTTTTAACACCAAACTGTAGGTCTCGTGCTTGCCCTTTCAATCGAGTCGAATTTACATGGGGTCGTCTGTGAAATTCTCGCGCGCGCTGGGAGACACACCCAATCTGACTCACATCCAGCTCCTGACAGCTCCTGCTGACTGGACCCGCATCCAGTGCAGGGTCCGAATGTGAAGGGAACCGAATCTGCAACATATCTGCCTGCTAAAGTAAAAATCATTACAACGTTTTGTACACATTTCAAATTTTAAAGTTTACGTGCGCTTATAATAAAACTAGTTTTTTCAGGGGGTGCGCTTATAATCGAGGAGGGGATATAAGCGCCATATGCCAATTAGAAGCGCCAGGCGCTTATCCTAGGGTGGCGCTTATATCCGGGGGGTGACGGTAAGAGGCATAAATGCCTGCTGTCATCCGCAAGCAATGCCTTCATTATAGGAAGGCTTATAATATGGTTTTTTCATATCTTATTACGATGTGTTTGCTGTCCATCTTCACACGCAGGGCCTGCCTAAGCCATCTGTGTCGTCTTGTGTGATGTATGCAGCGATGTTTTCCACATACGTAACCTAAGATAGTCGCCTTCTAGAGGGTTGAGGGAACACCCTCTAGTGGGCAAGGGTGGTGTCATATATAGGTATATGGCCCTCAGTGTTAGTACTAGTAGGTATGGTTTACGAAGTGGTTATATAGCATGTGCCTCCCAATTTATATGTTCAAAAGCATATGGATAATGGACTCCAGCCGTACTGAATTTCCGAAAGATATTTGGGGGGGGGCGGGAACTTCATTTGGCAGTGATGGAGTGGCATGGAGGAAGCTTGAATAGCATTAGCGAGAAAAAGGAATGGCAAACATAACCCTGTACACAATGGTGGTCAAACAATACCGTACAGCAAATACAAGGGTATGCAGATCACCAAGGAAACAAGGCCCAACTGAGGAAAGCAGATCACCAACAAGCAACTCTCCAGTATGTTCCCAAAGTACTAATTAACTTCAGGAGCCCTTTCAAGTGTCCAAGTAATTAGCTGCCATAAGTAGCTCAAGGGCTATCTCAGGCTCAATCTTGAACTCCGGGATGTTCTTTTGGCTGGTAAAAACGAAAAGAGGAGGGAAAACGGGCAGAGAAACGGAGGAGGTGAGACTCTAAAATACAGTGGGGCTTGAAATTCTGCTTGTGGGACTTACATTGTTAGAAAAAGAAGAAGACCAAGAAAAAAAAAGGTACAAAAGACGTTAGCACCATGCACGCAAAAGGGAAAGGGATCAGGGAAAGAGAGAGAGTTCGAAACATCAACAATTCCATAGGTTGCTCCCTACCCCTGCCCCAATGCCAATCCACACACGCTTTCTCTCCTTCCCACCTCCCAAATCCCATCATTCTGTCCCTCCTTCCCTATTCCTCCCCCCACTTTTTTCCACCACCATCCCACCTTTCTCCAGGGTCTTACTTAGCAGGATTGCTGTATCGTAGCTTGTAGTAGAAGTACTGGCAAAGCTTCTCCAAGATGGGGGTACTGATCTCTGGAAACCGCACCTCACCGCTGTCGCTCTCCTGAAACCCCCCTGAAATACAGGTTCAAAGGTACAAGAGCATAAGTCAAGATGGGAGGGGGTGGCAGGGGGGAAACGATGCGCACGGGGGAAAGGGAAGTGGAAAGGAGGTAGGATGGATGGTGTGCGGTTGAGGAAGTTTGAAGACTGAATGGAGGAGTGGACCGAAGGAAGGATAAGAGGCAGCGCATTTAGTGATGAGCGGGACTAAGAAGACGAAAAGGAAATAGGAAGGAGTAGAAGAGGATCGGGAGTTGGGGGGGGGAGAGGGGGGGTAGTGCGGGGGAAAGGGGGGGAGAGGGGCGTTTGGAGGACGGGGGAAAGAGGAAAAACTGAGCATGGGGCTGACCTGAAGAGCTGAGCATGCTCCGCAGCGTATTGGAGACCATGGCTGCCTGGCGGTCGATTACAAACTCAAAGCCCTCTGCACTGATCAGCTTCACCTGCTTGCACAGCCACACGCACAGGAATGAGGGCACGCACACGTGCAGACACATGCATAGGGTGCGTATGCGCGCGCGTGTGTGTGCGTGAGTGCGTCTGTGTGCGTGAATGCGTGTGTGTGTGTGTGTGTGTGTGTGTGTGTGTGTGTGTGTGTGTGTGTGTGTGTGTGTGTGTGTGTGTGTGTGTGTGTGTATGCGTGTGCGTGTATGCGTGTGCGTGTGGGTGTGTGTGCGTGTGTGTGCGTGCGTGTGTGTGTGTGCGTGTCTGTGTCTGTGTCTGTGCGTGTGAGTGTGTGTGTGCGCGCGCGCGCGCGTGTGTGCGAGTGTGCGTGTGTGCGTGTGTATGAGAGTGAGTGAGTGAGAGAGGGAGAGAGAGAGAGGGAGAGAGAGAGAGAGAGAGAGAGAGAAGGGGGGGGGGGGGGGGAGAGAGAGAGAGAGAGAGAGAGAGAGAGAGAGAGAGAGAGAGAGAGAGAGAGAGAGAGAGACAGAGAGAGAGAGAGAGAGAGAGAGAGAGAGAGACAGAGAGAGAGAGAGAGAGAGAGAGAGAGAGAGAGAGAGAGAGAGAGAGAGAGAGAGAGAGAGAGAGAGAGAGAGAGAGAGAGAGAGAGAGGAGAGAGGGAATGAGGGAGCGAGGGAGAGAGGGACGGAAAGAGGGAGAGAGAGAGTAAGGGAGGAGTGGGTGGGGAGGGGGAGGGGGGAGGGGGGGAGGAAGAGAGAAAGGTGGGGGGAGGTCGTTCGCTACTTACCATGTCGCCTTTGTGAATTGTCGCCATGAACCTTTTCGCACTTCTTCAAGGCCTTTCGAGGTTTGAATCTGCTGCTGCTTTTCCCAGCCCTTTTGCTGTTTCTCCTACAGAGGCCAGGCTCGAAATCGTTCTCACGCGCGCGCCTTTCCCGGTCGACGGCCCGAATCGCATTCGATGTGAAAGTTTAGAGGACTTTCGTTATAAGAACGAGGATATGCGATGCTAAAACGGCAACCTAAAAGCCGTATCCACCGGTGCTCCGTCACTCGCAATCTGATGCGTTCTTCCCTTTCTCGCACAACTACTCGTGCTTGAATGCCTAAAAACTCAATCCTCCCCGTCCACCGCTTGCGAGAAATAAGCCGACTCCTGGCGTCAGGCAGAAGGGCTAAACGCCAGAAGCAAATAGAACGAAGTGTCGATTTGGGCTCCACGAGTGAAGGTGGGGAAGCTAGAACTGGCACATCAGTGGTGGTGTGGTGGTGTGTGGTGGAAGGTATAGGTTGGAGGGAGCGAGGGGTGAAGGTGTGTGCAGAATGGAAATGCCAGATGGTGGGGGTGGAGGTCTTGGAGGCAAGAACGACTTTCTCGAAAATTCGTCAGAGGTCAGGTTACCAATCTGCCGATGAGTTGGCATTGAAAGTGTTATGAGTTGTACTAAGAAGAGTGCGCGGAAGACTTTATAAAAAGGATGTCGAATACAGAATGACGAGAATGATAGAAGCATGCATTTATAGGGTCGAAAACGTGGTAGGCGAGGACCTCGGGACGTGGATGGGTTGGAAGTGTCGCGATTGGTGCGAGGCGACTCGGGGGTGGTTCGGGCCGAAGTGTAGGCCGAACCTCAAAACTGGCGCGAAGTGCTCGGGGCTGTACTCGCTAGGAGCAGCCTCTACAGTAATGAATTCGTATTCATTACAGAAATATTCCACATGTTACGAGTGCAATTGAGCGAGCGAACGTAGATTGCACTATCTAAGCAAAAACAGTCCATTGAGCTAACGAACAAACGAATGTTATATAGCGAACTAGCGTGGTAATGGTAACGCATGAAATGAGGGGTGAGAGACGGGCATGGAGTCGAGGTGGAGGACCGGAGCACGGGTTACCAATCGAGCCGTGAGGTTGGATTGCGATGTGAACAGTGGCGAGAGCAGTAGTCGAAGCGAGTGTCCCAAGTGGTAACAGTTTACTGTTGGCAGGAACAATCATGCACGAGGTAAACAGGGGGTGCGGAGTAAGGAAATTGAATTTTCCTTACACTACCCCCCCCCATCCCCAAGGAAATCTCGAAAATTTTGGCTGCGCAGATACTCGGTGACAGGGCGGTTCTCGCTTTTATCCAGAGGTACCCAATTGTCTTCTGTAGGTGTGCGGTCTTTTCACCGTATTAGGAACTCGACGCGACGTGATTCACGTAGGTCACGGACGCGGTGGCTCAAGATGATCTTGGGGCTGATGGCCGGCTTTATGGGCGGACGTGTCATTCTTCACGAGCGGTTGCGAGGCATTTGGCTCGTGGATGGGACGTAAGGGCGTCGAAGGAGGGGTTGACGTAACACTCAGCGGGCAGGAGGAGGTGGGTGGTAACGGGGGTGATCATGTGGCTGATGCGAAATGGCCAGCAAATTCAGGGGCGTAACTTTGGGGTGATGGGCAGGCAGATTCTGGGTGTCGAGTAAAACGAGGTCGTCGGGTTGGTACATAACGGAGCGGTGGTGGCGATCGGCGTTGCACTTAGCGATAACACTTGAATTTTTTAATGACTTTTGCTGTTCGGGTCCGGGCTGCTTGTAAAATCTCGGCAAACTGTTGCGCACGTGGAACTAGGTTGTCGAGGCTCCGCGTCATGGACATTGTTGGGTTATGGTCGTAGTTGAGGTAGAAGTGTGACTGTTGGGTCGTGGCTGACGTGGAGCTGTTATACGCGAACTCGATGAGCGACAACTGCTGCTCCCAAATTGCCAGGTCGTCGCACGTGGTTCGGTTTAACTGCTCCATGGTCTGATTGGTCCGCTCTATGTGACCGTCGGCTTCGGGGTGGTACGATAAGCTGATTTGCAGTTGCGTGCCGAACTGTTGCCACATGTTCCTCCAAAAGTTGCTGGTGAAT